ATTGCTGGAATGCTAGATGGCGTTAAAATAGTCAAACAGCCAGATGCAGAGGTAATATTGGCTAAACAATTTCTTTATTTTATTTAAAAAATATATTTTTTTATTAAATAAAAAGTAGCCTATAACCATTCGGGGACCACTAAGAATATGTGTACAAATTTTCATGATGATCGGTTAAGTAGTTTTTGCGTGAAAGTGTAACAAACATCAGGACTTTAGCATTTATAATATTAGTAGGGATATAAGGCCTCACATTTGTATTCTCTTGTATTTAAGCTTAAGTTTTAGCATATGCACGCATCTCTCATTCCAGCTTTTAAATTGCGGGGTATAGCTGCTTGGACCTACAATCGAATGATACTAAAATTACCTATGCATTGTATCTAGGACCATAGTTATGACGATGTGTGTCAACGTTAGATGATTTAGATATGCGGCAATTTTTGTGACTGGAATCTGTGTTTCAATAATTTGACAAATAAAAGACATTTAATATTACGTTTCACACGTATTTTTAGTCCTCGTAGAGAATTAATTATTCATGGTAGATTGTCGTTTCTACAGCAACATTTTTTGTTTACTTTGGCTATAATTTTATTTTTGTGATAATTCAAAAGTGCTGTGTATGTGTATCTATGTAAAATTAATTTGAATACGTGGTAGGTTTAGTGTACAGTATTTACTGAAAATTGTACGTGAATTGAATTACATTTGTTTCGAGTATACATGTTTCATCTCGAGGGAATCGTCAGTAACTAATTAAGAATTTGATGTGTTGTAAGTGTGTTAAATCATACAAGATATACATACAACAATACATACAAATCTACATTTCTACTTTAAGGACTACAATTTGAATAATTCCGAAAATAAACAAGAAAATAAAAAAGTTTTGCCTTTCTGTTTGTTGTGGGTAAATTATTAGTAAATTTAATTAATATGACTGACACATTGTATGTGCATGGTGCATAGGAGCGTATAAGTCATACATTTCTAATTCTATTATTACTGATGTCGGTGCTTACCTCGTCCGTCTCGACTTCCAGAACTCACTTTTCCCCCTCCTTTCAGTTTCTTTGCTATTTTATTTATTCCCCTAAAATTCCAGCGGTCTGCAATGCCGGCGATGCGCTCCACACGAAATTAGTTTCCGTTCAACAGTTTAACTTGAACATTTTCTGTGGCATCGGGCATGTCTATAAAAATGTCCACACGCCGCATTGCTGATGTCATAGAGATGTCATAGCGCGACGATTTAATTTTAAGGTTGAAAAAATAAAGCGCTCATTTGCCATCGCTAATTGAAAACACGAATTAAATTATGCCTTTCGAGGCTCGCGCGTTCGTATATATCAGCGCAAATTGTAAACATCGTTCTATTCATAGACGCATTTGATTGTTCTTGGTCGTATGAGCGCACAGTATACGCAGATATAATTTTAATGTATTGCCAATGTAAGCATACGCTGAATATATACATTGAGTGGAATATAATTATGCTGTTATGGAGAAGGAGTCCAATGTTTGCTCGTTATCCCCGAGCCTTGTGATTAATTAAGGAGTTGTTTCTATAACGCAGTAGCGTCTCTTTCCTCTCATCTTATATTTTATAAATAAGTCGCGTATTATACAAATGAAGTCAACTGGAATCTAATGTTGGAACAAATGTGATAAACTTGTGTTTTGTTTAGTTCAACCGGGTTTCTAATTATTGTCCTACCCTCTGTCTAGTTTTCATCATAATGGTGACATACACATACATTAAACAGACATGCATTTGGTTAATGAACCTTTTTTCTCGTTTAATTAAAGTTTTAAGGGGTATTGCGTTATGCAAGGAGCCATGTGCGCAATATTATTTGTGATCTTATGAACAGTTGTGTTGTGTGATATATAAATGTATCTGTTTTGTTTTGCGGCAAATGCATTTATTGATTGCTGCTAAAACTGGGCCACGACGAGTTTGTGTGGGAGAGGTTTTTTTTATAGATTAGGCACGTATGTGCAATGTTTTGGCAATACGTGTATTGATATCAATTTTGAGTGGGCCTGGAATATACAATTTGCAAGATAATAATGGAAAATAATAGGTGACACATTGATAATAATAAATGTGATTTAACGAAAAATACTATTAGAATGTGCGTTGATATACGCAACTGACATTGAATATCTTATGTATTTCTCATGGTTTTCATTGAAAAATATTTAGAAACTAGCTTTAACCCGCGGCTTCGCTCGCGAATATCTAAAATAATGAAGTTGCTTCCGTACGCGTCTGTAGTCACAGAAGAAGTAACAATGAAGTAGAATGGCGGTAAGTTTAAAATGGCTGAAAGTATAGTCTATGGAAGTATAGTGTACAGTCTCCATAGTGTAGTCAATTGGATTTGATGTTGACGTAGCTGTCGGTAATACAGTGTGATAATACAGTGTGATGGTACTATAGTACTTAGGTTTGAGCTTCATTGCTGGAATGCTAGATGGCGTTAAAGTAGTCAAAAACCCAGATGCAGATTATTGTCTAAACAATTTCTTTATTTTATTTAAAAAATATTTTTTTTATTAAATAAAAAGTAGCCTATAACCATTCGGGGACCACTAAGAATATGTGTACAAATTTTCATGATGATCGGTTAAGTAGTTTTTGCGTGAAAGTGTGACAAACATCAGGACTTTCGCATTTATAATATTAGTAGGGATAAGTAAAAGTTTGACGTATGTTATCATAATGCACCAGGACAATTATATTCCCATTAGGTTACAAAACTGAAGAAAATAGGCCACTGATTCATCCCTGACCTATTTTTTTCATTCGGCAGATGTGTCAGTGTGACAATAATCCGCGCACGCCTTGCCTTACATGCGCGTCCTTTCTACGCGTCACGGTGTGCGCGTGAATATGAATGCATTATATAAACAATCAACTCCTTATACAGTCGACATCGGAACACAACAAATTTGATGCGTGTGCGTGTGTGTACTGCGTGCGTCTCGTAGTAACCCAAAAGATTGTGTATCATGCGCATTGAGGCATTCCATGAATGAAAGTGTCCGCAGAAGTGGGCATTGCTCGGCCCACAGCATCGCATAATTGTCTACCTACCGTTCTGGTCTGAATCTCTTCTTACCAATTATAGACAGCTACACACTTTATTATGTGGGCGTGCGTGATATTGTGATTAATTAAATGTAGTCAAAATTCAATTGAAGTTTTGCACACAAAAAAAGTGCAAAGTTTTTTAAAGTTGTATTACTGTTGTAACCCCAATTTCTTACGTCTGGGCTGTGTGCCAAAGGACAAGTCAACCCAAATTTCACATCTTGCCGTTGCAAATACCCGCTCGATAAGTTTGCTTCATTCGTCGGCCGACCGTATTTCGCTTAATTAAACTTACTAGACCAGACATCCAGGTGGATGGCTAGTCGCATCTATTCTTTAGTCTTTGCAAAACCTGGTATAGTTGCGAGCCGGTGTGTGGCTTATTTATAACAACATCTTGATTACGTAATACACCATCCCACACTTCCATCGTGGTGTGTGTTTTTTTTTTGTATGGGCGATGCCACTCGACACCGTTTGTTTATTATTAGATTATTATTCATTCTTTATAAAATTAGCCGCATAATATTATCGGTGGTTCTACGTGCGTAACCAACGCACCTACGAGGAGTATGTGCGTTTATTTTCATACTTCCGGTTGGTGTAAATAAGACCTGAAGCTGCTGCAGATTGCTCGAGTGCTGGTAGCAGGATTTTAGGTCAACGCATTGAATGATTGCTTCATAAGCAAACGCACAACATGTGCACATTTCCTTTATAGCTGAATTTTTGTGTGAAATTTGTGACGCTCCAAATTCCGAATGTTTCTGAGATTCACGTAAACAATGATGGCGGCCGGTGCCGGTCGATAAAGTGATGTTTCGCAAATGATTCCGACCAAAAATAACTTGAGTACAATAGCGCCAGGCGCTGACAACATATGGCTTTTGATTGCACTCGTGTGAATGACTCCCAACGCCAACCAGGCATGTAATTATCGCATTAACAACATTATTGACATGAATTATTACAATCGACTTATTTCTTCTAGTGGCTCTGGATAATACGAACGAATACCACTTGATACACCATTGACCTCTTTAGTGATTTATTACGTTATGGATTTCTGCGCATTGGGCAGAAGTTTAATGAACCCTAAATTGAATCTGCACTTCCTTATTTCGACACATATAAAGAAAGTGCTGGGAGATGCAGGAGGCTGTGTAAATATTTAGATTTCACGAAAGCTGCGCTTTCAATTCTAACAAACTATAATTTTAGGCTCGAATACAAACGATTTCGGTTCTTATTTTTGACTGGATTGTTTTAAGCTATTTTTATATTAATAGATTGCCTGCAGTGCGGCAGAAATAAGGTTTGGACTAGGGGTGTGAAATATCAGTATTAAATACCGACATTTTTCAATATAATATTGCTTTCGATATGTGCCGGTATAACGATATCTCGATTGCAATTTGAAAAGCAAAATTCCTTCTTCCTGCTTTTTGGGACATAACTGTCACTTTAAACTTCAGCTCCAAAAAGATTCTACGCAGGTAGTTTCAGAAATAAAGAAATAAATACTTGGGGGAAAGATTGATTCATTTATTATTTACTTTCTTGAAACTATTGTCAATCTATTCTTAATTTACTAATTGTTTAACTCGCTGATTAAATAATTAATAAATTTTATAAATATCGGTATGCCAATATTTTGATTAAAAAATACCGTATCAGGCATGAACATTTCCTATGCGCCGTCTAGTTGGAACAAAATATCTACTTGACCTTTTTATACTTGCATCCAACCCGCAAAAAATGTTGGGAGAAGGTGTGCCAGGGGTACCTGAGATTAGGGTGTGAACAATTTATGTAGCATGTACACGTACAGGTGCAAGGAGTTTCCTTTAATGTATAATATACTTCACACGCAACACTTAATTAAGTTAAAATGAAGCACGAAAAATATTAATATAAAATATTTATTTTTAGAAATAACAAACGATTGGTCCGATCACGCAATTTGGTGGCCACAGAAAAATCGATGGCTATCCAATACAAGATTAACCCTCAATCAACTGGAAGTCCAAGCGGATGCAATCCTGCACTTTACATCTATGCACAAACAACTCACCGTACAATTGCCGGACTTGCGATACTTAAATCTGCGCGTTGATTTTTCAATCAACACCTTCTCGACGGTAATCAGCCTTTGCAAAGATCTTAGCATAAGATACCCCGAAGAATTATCGTTGGCTAAACCGCTGGAGTCGATTAACTTGAAGTACAACTTTAAACATATGCCCAAGAAAAAGGTGGAACAAAATGGGGTACAACGCAATGGGCACTTGCAGCCTGATACAAACACATTCATTGGCAACCATAGTCCGGATGGTAGCACAGGTAGTTTAGAAAAGTCTGGATTTTCGTGTACGCCGGTAACGCCGACAAGATCACCACACTCTGCAGCGTCAATGAGCACACCCATGGGACAGGTATGTATGAGTGAGAGTTAATTTTAAGAAATGGTATGATTTTAATTTTTATAGAATGGAACATGGAAACGCAATGGTTTTGGCAATAACGTCAGTGGTTATTCACCGAATGTCAACAATAGCGTGAGCCTGGAGGAGTTGAACGGCTCTTTAAATCACTCGCTGGCTCAGAGTCCCACTTCCGTGACTCCCGAATGCCGGCGGACGTTGGTGCGTCCGAAGACATTAGTTGAACGCGCACGAATGAATGTGGCGTATGTTTTGCATTAAATCGAGATTTCAGATTTCATTTACTTAATTTTTTTTTTAAACTTCAGGTGGTTGGACTCCTCGCTGTCTATCATGGAGCAGGGTGTGAAGGAAGGTGATACACTTTGCCTTCGTTTCAAGTTCTACTCGTTCTATGATTTGAATCCCAAGTACGACGCCGTCCGGATTAATCAAATTTACGAGCAGGCAAAGTGGCAATTACTCAACGAGGAGATTGACTGCACTGAAGAAGAAATGTTGATGTTTGCTGCGTTGCAAGTAAGTAATTTGGAGCATAATAACTGGTTTTTTTTTTTGATAATGCGTGAAATATTATTTTTCTACTTCTCCTTTAAAGCGCCAGTTTTTATACACAAAAGGTGGTATTTTAAACACGGACGGACAAGACCGTATGAAATGCATTGCCCGCCAGTCAAACAAGTCAAAATTACAAATTACAAAATTACATTTCTCAGAAGTGTGCTATCGAATTTCGAAAATTTAAAATAAAAAACCTCAACGAGGCAAAAGAGGAAGTAGAAAAAATTGCGTAAGCCTCACGTGTAACGTCGTTTGGGTGTATGGTGATAGTTTTGTGCACGTTGCTAATAGCCACCATTGAAATACATTTTTATTGTTTGCTGCTCAACATTTAATCAAATAAGAAAAACTTAATTTATAAACATGATATTTGTATCGAATGCATATAAAAACAGTATGCAATGCGATCGTATTCGTTTGATTAGGTTCTCGAAAGATAAGTCAATTTGAATTCCACATTTTTATATAACTTTATTATAAAATTTTTGACATATTCTGATACAGAGATAACTATAATAATTACAATATTTCAAACATAACACATAAAATTAAACGCATACAGTTATCACTTAATTAATTAATATAGTTAGTACCGTAATTAATCTAAGCTTAGATTGCTCATCAAAGAATTCACATTCTGTACCTCTCTGCTCATTGTAAATTTGATAACGTACTTTGGATAGTATGTATCATCATCATACTTGACAATAACATCCCCTTTGACATTTTGTGTGCAATCATACCCTCTTTCAGGCACTTTGGTAAATTGCGTCCCCATAGTTGATTGTATCCTTATAACTTTGCACACCAGCATGATTTTAACAGCAGCACCTTTATCACAATAATGAGTGGCGTAGAAAGAGATTGGACTGAATGAGACGCCATGTCCGAATTTATGATGTACGCACTTGCGGCGATCCAAATTATTTTTGCAAATGGAATCGAAATGACGTTGCAGTGTTCCATGATACAACTCTTCTTCAGTGCACGAATTAGTTTTGTATATTTTCATTGTTTCACTTTTCTTTAATTCATACATAGCTCTCTGTATGGGGTTGTCAATACTCTCAATCGAAATTACTTTCATGTAATACTTGCCGGTTATAGAAAATCTGCTTTGAATCTCTTGATATTTGAATGAACTTGATGACAATTTTGTTAACTTGTAACAGTTGTTGTGGGGAATATCTTTGATGATATTTACAGGCCCAATAATATGACCACGTCTCTCCATAATTAATTTTTGTCGCCTTAGTTGTTCAGCTCGTTGTTCTTGTCTTAGTTGTTCAGCTCGTTCTTCTCTTAATTGTTCAGCTCTTCGTTTCAATTGTTCAGCATGTCTCTGCAGTTGTTGCGCTCTTTCGTACTCTTTCAAGCGAATACTTTTCGCTCTCCTCGATTCTTCCGCTTGTTTCCGTTGTTCTTCAAGTGTAGGTTCACTAGTTAATAACGCACCCATTGTTTAATTGTATAAACTATGCAAATTCTTATATTCGTTGTTGATATGGCGACGAGCCGCTAATACATACTATCAAGTTTCATTCGTGCACTGCATTATAACTTGCGAGTTACATACATCGGGGAACCCCACAATTCATGTATCCTTACTTGAATGTATGGTGGGAGGAACACGTAACAACGACAGATTATTTTAGAATTACATAGGTTTTTTACTAGCATATAACATGCGCAGGCCTTGAACTAATAATAAAAACCCACTTTGGATTACACATATTTTTAGATTTTTGGAATTAATTTAATTTTAAATTACAGTGGAATCCCGGTAATCCGGCGTCTCTTGTAATCCGACATAGTCATATGCCATATGTTTGTACTTTAGGGTTGGTAATTTGTCGGATTACAAGGTATTCTTTTGTAAAAAAATCCGGATTGTAAGGGGTCTAAGGCCCCTAATTTCTTGCGATGTGTTGATATTGTAGTGTGCTTTGTTCCAATTTGATCAACACTTGTAGCAACTATTGCCTGGCATATTTTTAATACTACGCAGTTGTTCTAATCGACAACTTCCGTTTGAAACTATTCCACGCATGTGGAATACCCATGGACCCATGATGTTTACTAATATCTTTAAGTTGCAACTGCTACCTCACGACTCAAACTGTTGATCTTCTGTTGAACTGCTAAACGAAAAATCATGAATAACCAATCGTATTTGAGGTGTATCGCCATTTTTATCATTGTGCATGATGCAATTCAGTTGCAGACGAACATTCAGGCAAACGAGCCACAGCCCAACATAGAGAATGGGAATTCACATCTAGCAGACGACGATGATATTGATGCGGCGCTCACCGACCTTCAGACTACATTGGAGGGAGTCAACGTTGACAGTATACCCAACGATATCACCCAAGTGCCTGAACTATACAACGAAATGCGCTTTATGAAGTATGTTATCAATTGTACAGCTCATATATAATAACACAATAATACGATGAATTATTTATTTTCAGGCCGAAAAAGTTCGGATTCAACTCGTACAAGCGGCTATTGTTTTCGTACAGGGATTTGAATTTATACTTGTACAAGACCCGCGAGGAGATGATTCATCGCTCTGCGCATTACTATTCGATTTCGTTGCAAGGTTGCGAAGTTACACCAGAAGTGAACATAAGTCAACGAAAATACATAATTAAATTAGAAGTTGCCGAAGCTGATGGAATGACTGAAATGCGCATTAAATGCGACAATGTATGTGTTTCATTTTAAGTTGTGATGTTTGTTATTCATAAAGTATTTTTAGGAGGATCAATATGCTACATGGATGGCCGCGTGCAAACTAGCAGCGAAAGGCAGATCACTCGCCGATAGTTCATACAAATCTGAAGTCGAATCGATCAAGCAATTGCTACAGCTTCAGAAACCAGGCGATGCGCCTACGCTTACCCCTTCGGCCGTGAATATCAACCCCGAAGATTATGTTGCGCCAAGATTTGTCAAGAAATTAAAGGGCAAGGTAGCAGCTACCATAAATTTGCTTAATTGCATATGTAAATTATGTAAATTGTTATAGCTTGTTCAAAGAATATTGGAAGCCAATTCAAACGTAAAAGACCTGCCATTAATGGAAGCCAAACTTAATTACATTAAAGCATGGCAGAGTCTTCCAGAATATGGTCTTACACTGTTTGTGGTCCAGTTTATGGGGCAGAAAAAGGAGGAGCTTCTTGGTGTCGCCCACAATCGCATCATGAAAATGGACATCAACACTGGAATGCACATTCACACATGGAGATACAGTTCGTTAAAAGTGCGTGTACAATAGATTAAATATTACAATGTATTTTACTAACCTTTGTGTTTTGCCATTGCAGGCGTGGAATGTAAATTGGAAAGCAAAGCATATGATGACGCAGTTTGAGGACACCAACATTATCTTCAGCTGCCTATCGGCCGATTGCAAAGTTGTGCATGAGTTCATCGGCGGTTACATTTTCCTTTCAATGCGTTCGAAGGAAGCCAGTCAGACGCTGAACGAAGAGTTGTTCCACAAACTCACGGGGGGCTGGACATAACTTGATTTTATAATGTTGATTGATCGATGCCAATAATTTTGTGCCTTAATAGCTATAATATGTACTAAATCTGAATAACTTAATTTACAAATTTTAAAGTTAACAAGTACAACAGCATGCTTGCTTACGCATTCTCGTTCACACGCAAATATATTGTAAAAGAAATTATACACTGTTTATAAAGTTTTGACGAATCAAATTATTCAAGCCAATGATTCATGAATTATTTAAACAACGTTATATATTTTTAAGAGTATTTACAAAATGTATATACAGTTATTTAATTAAGTATTTTATTGAAATGCGCGGTCCGGGATATGTATATTAAAAGCAAAATTGCTACTTTAACGTATTTATTACGCACACTAAATATTGTTTCTAATAAATCTATGTATTATATTGTAAATGTGTCGGTTGTCGCCTGGCCGACTAGCGATTGCTGCAATCTGAAACCAACTATTATACCACTAGTTGCCTTCAAGATATGTACCTAATATTTGTATTAGAATTTATATAGATTTGTGGTCTAACAATGCCTAACAATGATTGTGGAATGTTGCAATGTTTATTTTCAACATTCCGCAAAATGTTTTATCGTATTTATATCTGAACATATGAAAGAAAATAACATTCATGTTTTAAAGAGTAATCTATGTATTGATATTAATCTTTAATAGACAAATATATTAACGGATATGTGACGTACATTAATTGTGGATCTTCGGGGGTTGGAATTTTAGGTTATCCTGAAACACTATTTTCTTCAATTTTTTTAAAGGCCATAGAATAAATTAATTCTTTATTCACTGGCGTATTGGTTTCTTTTCATTATTTAATATTTTATAATGTCTTCGTCAAAGCCTTTGCTGAATTTTGGTAAGTATGCAAAATTAGCAGATTTTTTGGCATTAGTGAAACTGAATTTTTACATTGAGATTCTAGATATAGATAGTTTTTTTAACTTCTACATCAACTATTTACTCATATTCTCACTTGATACATCTCGTTCAAGCCCGATGTGCCATTTAAATTCAGATATGGAAATGAACAAAATCTTGCCTCACTGAAATGATAATTGTTATTATTTTTTAAATTAAAAAAATTAACATAATTTGTTGTGGTTGTTGATTGTTTTAATTGTATTTGCACCAGCGTGATAATAACTACAGCAAATCGTTATATGAAAAATGGAAAAGTACGAAAAGTTTGTGTGAATTAATTTCGAATAAGATTTTGATGGGTACATCGCTTCGATGAGTGTATGCGCAAGCGCAGTTTGCCGGATGGGTCATGGGTGAATTCCACACTCCACGTCCGATCGCGATGGAGCGACACGCCACTCCCGCGTGCGACCGAGAAGAGCTCAGTCTCCGGCCCCGAACTGTCGAAGTGTGATGCGGTGTAGCGTGTCGTGCAGGTTTTGCCGCTGTGTATCATTTTAGTCTGCGTTTCTTCAACGTTTTTTCTCACAAATCATCCGCATCGCAAAATCGTATGTCTTATTGTAAGTATCTCAATTAAAACATTTCCTAAATAATACGCCTACCAAGTGCACGTTCTCCGGCCGGCAAGTCATCGGCCACTGTGAAAACGCTACGTGGCCTTGAACGTGTGCAAAGCGTTGCTTTAGCGGCTCTGGCGTCCCGCAAATTCACAAAATAGTTGCCGATAGCTTGTTCGTGTGCATCTCATTGGTGCACTGAGAATTGATATGATTAATTAGAGCGTTGAAACGAGCGCCGTACACGCCTCTATCACATTATGAAGCAGTGGCACTGTCTCTCTGAAGCGAATTCTCTGAGTGCAGTGCATGTGGCAAATTTCGCTTCATTTTGAATCATTTTCTTTTGCAGTATATTACACAATGGACATCGAAACTATTTATTTGATTGTCGGAGTGTTCATCATTCCGTCGCTTATGTTAATTGTATTGCAAAGACTGTTCAAGAATAAGAGTTATGAGGAGGTGATTGCCGAACAACGCCAACACTCTAATGCATTGTTTAGTAGTCAACCCAAACCTAAAGTTAAAGATAAGAAACAAAAGAAAGCTTTGAAGAAGGTATGTTTACCAACTTAGGTAATTTACATCATTTATTTCCACATAAAACGTCTGCTGTTGTAGAGTAAAGAAAAGAAACCATCCTCTGAAGTCACCACTGATGAAATTGGTGAGGAAACCAGTGACCTTGCTGAGCACACTGAGGAGTCAGCAAAAGAGGAAGTTGATTGCACTGCCATGGTGAAAACAGAGGTGTCTAAAACAAACCATCATACACATGTTGAATTTAAGGAGGCAACAACAGTTATTGAGGAGCCACTTAAAGAAGTGAAGGTAATTATATTCTACAAACAATCTATTATTACTAATCTTAAATGATAAGAGCATGTGCAGTGCTTAATGTTTTTAATTGGGTCTAATATATAGCGTTATACCAGTTTAACTTGCTTCAAACACTCGGAAACAATATTGTAATTTAATGCTGAAAATTTGATCTTAATCAGTTTCGGCGCCACGGGTCAATTTGCAGAGCCCATTTATCAAAAATTTAAATTGCTTTTGATTTTAACTGCATGAGTTGTACAGCAACAATCAGCACTTCTAATTTTAACGATGACGGCGCTTTGCAGGAATATGTCTATCGGTCTCGTTTAGATAAATTAATTCAAGCAGGCGTCAAATTGCTGACGCTGGCGAGTTGTATTCGAAATAAAACTGCTCTTTTTAGTCCCATCAAATCATCTTATTGTTGCAATAAAAATTAAGTCACAAAATTTAATTTAAGTCGCTAATTTTTGTAGTTTTAACAATGCTGTTTCCGATACACTACAATTGTGTGTATGCTATTGTATAAACATATTTGTGATTCCCATGATTTTATAATTACAATAATAATGGGGGCTATGTAATGAACTAACACGGTATTCTTTTCTTCTGTTCTGTCTGGGGAAATGTGCAGCGTAAGCCACGACGCGAATCTGTGAAACCGATTTTGGTAAATCGAGATTCGTCGTCAGAGCTAATAAGGGATGTTATAGAGGTGCCTCAAACGAATCACTTCGAGGAATCGCACCCGAAGGACGAGTTTGAATTGTTCAATGCGCACAATTCGAATTCGCAACATGCCGTAAGTTTGTTTACAAACACAAGTGTTATTAAACGATACGACATTATTATCGAGACACTAAATCTTATTGTTTGCCTTGCAGAAAGAAGAAAAGAATAGCGCTGAGAACAACAATAAGAAAACAAAGAAGCAGGCCGCCGATAAGAAGATCAAACACCAAGTTAACGAAATTATATCCAAGAAAGAAAAGGAGAAAGTTGAAGCTCCTATTCAGCCGCTACCTCAGCCTTCAAAAGAAATGTCAATCGAGGAGGTGAAAGAAGTAAAGGAACAGCTTGTTGCTCCTGTTGTCCAGAATGGAATATCTGCTGTTCCGGCCAAAGATAAAAAGAAAAAGAAGAGCGAATTCAACGTACTCACGCAGAATCACGAGAAGTCTGCTTTAAATGTAAACTTATCACAGATGATTACTCTTGTCAGGAAGGCGGATATGTCTAAACAGGATGTCCAAACGCTTATCGATGTACTCCTAAATAAACAACACGATGCACCATCCATCATTGACGAATGGAGCGAAGGTAAAGGCGATCCAATGCAGAAACTCAAGAAACAACTCGCTGAGAAGACTCAACTTGTCACCGAACTACAGGAGTCTCTTATCGGTGCGCAGAACAAAATGCGTGAAGTTCGTGCGGATCAACAAGGCGAGCGTTCGCAGTTATTGCAGGCTGCGCGTGACTATCAAGAAAAGTTAAATCATCTAAAACATGAGAAACTCCAATTCGACAAACAAGTTCTTAGTCTTAATCATAAATGTCAACAAATGCAAGAGACTGCTAATGAAGAGGCTAATAAGAACCGGAAATTGATGGAGGAATTCAAGGCACTCCAAATTCAGCATCAGCAATATATGCAACAGATGGAACATAACATAGAGGGATTGCAGTACGAGTTTGCGAACAAACAGATGCAAATCAACAAACAAAGCATACAGTATCAGGCCGAGTTGGAACAGGCGCATAAAGATATGCAACTCAAAGATAACCGATGCGCTTCCGATCGTCAACAATTCAATAAGGAGCTGGAGATGTGGAGAGAAAAGCTGCAAGACTTGGAAAAACGCAAGAATCAAGAGATTCAAGTACTCCATCAACAACTTGATGAAGCAAAAATGGAGATTGCTAAAGTAAGTTTCATCAGCACAGGTTAAATTAAATTAAAGTAACATTGATTATTTGTTTAAAGGTTAGTAACGAATTGAGAATGATTCAAGAGAATAACTCGGCAATGTTGCGTGAAAAAGAAATTGAAATTGCGAAACAAATCAGCCTTAACAACTCAAACCTGCAAGAAAATCACAAACTTATGGAAGAGCTCCAGAAAGTGCGTGATGCTAAAACGAATGGTTCCATTGAGCAAGGAAAACAACACCAGTTAATCATCAATCAATTAAACATGGAATTAAAGAACGTTATAAATCAACTAGAAAGTAGTAACATGAACAGTCAACAGAAAACTATCGAATTGGAGGAATTAAGAAATAAAAATAATGTGAGTATTACATTTATTATTTATGTATGTGATATATAACTCTAATATTAAGCTAATTCTATTATTACTGTAACACTTGCATGGTTTGTTTCAATATCACCGATTGTTTAGGATTTGCGTAAAAAGAACTGGAAAGTGATGGAAGCATTAAATGCAGCCGAAAATAGAGTGCGAACCTCCCTGAACTCGCAAACTGTAAGCATCACATCACTTTCCATTTGTTTAATTAAAATATATTTGCTTGAAAAATTACAAGAAAACTATGAACATTTTTTGTTTTATTACAGAAATTGTTGACTCAGTTGGGCGAAATACCACCACCAGTAGACCCGATAGAAGCAAGAACAAAATTCCTCAAACGTGTGTTCCCAAGCATAGTCTCAATTTCGGCAAATTTAAGTGAAGAGCAGTGGGACAAGGCTGTACATGAAGCTGTTCGAGATTATGTCTTGGCCACGGCAACGCCGGCACCGGCTCCGACTCTGCCTGCCAGTCATAGTAAAATTGAGGATGACGCGGAACTTTTGAAGTTACGCGCAGAGAACACAAATTACCGAAAGATAATCGACCAGAGTGTACGTTTGTATGAAATCTTTGAAATCTTCTATTATTATTATTTTTTTGCGATTACAGGAGGCAATTTTATGTAAGCTGCAAACTCACGTGGAGGAGGAACAAATTCGTTGGGGAAGGGAGTTGAAGATAAAAGAAGATTCGATTTCAAGACTTAGTGAAGAATTGGAAGTAAGTAGAATAATTTACATTAATAAAAAAGCATATTTTTGACGGCTCATTCTCTCAATGGGGTAAACACAAAAAAATTACAATAAAAATGTCATTAAGCAATATTAAAAATAACATCCACAATGTAAACAAAATCAGGCTTTTATCAGTCATGAGAAGCACTCCTACTTTGTGCACGTATTGCATATTTATCATTCGTTTGTGTATTTCAGTTGAAAGAAGAAGAATTGCGACAGAAAGGTGAAAGTCTGAATCAGGTAACATTAAATAGTTTCACTAAACGCTTAGAATCTCTTTACGTCCGGTTTAATCATATTCTCCTTGTAGGCAATTATTACTAATAGTCATTGTACTAACGGTCCTACTGCTGGTTTAGAATTTGTAAGTATGATACGCTAACAATGTTTGCGGTGCTTTGGCATATTGCTTTCATTTGCGCTAACATGCATCTATTTCTTTCCCTGGGTCAGAGTGTACCGAAGGTACCAAACGAACAACCACAGGTAGCACAATTAAATTCCACCGATTCAAGTGCCACTTCATCCGTAGCTGATGCAACCGAGAAAAAGAAAAAGAGAAGAAAGAAGGTATATAACTCTCATCGCATGCTAATTAACATTACTTAACTGTTCTGCTTTTTGTAATCTATAATAATGATTTTTTTTTTTGCAAATGGTATAAATGTTTGTAAGTATAGTGTAGCTTCTTTATAAAGACGCCGACGGAACCTGGCATTTGATCAAGTTTAAAAGAAGAGCCGTTACAACGATTAACAAAAAGTAACTCATTATTATGATTTCATTAAAAAAGTTGTATATATTTAATATCGGCTCACCTTATAAAGAAGCTACCATTTTTTTCTGCTTCCACCTCTAAAGCGCCAGGTTTTTTCACGGTTTTAAGAGACAAGCAGCTAAAGTTCAAATATACAAACCTCCACGTGGAAGTAGAGTGGAAGTAGAAAAAATTGCCTAAACATCACGTGGTTAAACGTTGTTAAATGCTCGATCTTAATCAATCTCGTGACAAAAACTCGTGCCACTTAATACTTAATATACTATAAATGATTCCATAGTAATTGGTGATACTGTGTTATGGAATCTGGCCATATTGGCAAATTTTAAATCATTTAAAAACAAAGCAGTTTGAAGTTTAAAAAAAAGTTGCTAAATCTTTTGTATGTTTTGTTGCAGAAAAATAAGGACAACGTCGTCACCAATTGAAGAAATATATTAATACTTACAATAACCGACTGAAATTACCTAAACATTGAAAACGCATTAATTGCAAATGATAGGCATACAGTAATTAGCTTGTATTTCTTTAAGTTATATTTTTTGATACTTGACGTACTTTACGATAATTCCTATTACTACAAAACTCATATTACTCATTATTATGTTTATTTATTAGTTAACCGCAACAAAGTAATAATACTTATATACATATGTTTAACAACATCGGAGTACGTATTAAGAACCCTTTACTCTTAAGGTCACATCGCAAGTCACTACTGCAACATTCCAATTAAATCTTTGGGATAATTTGAGTGCAATAAATTTATCAAGGAATACAAATAACGCAAAAAATTAAATATTGTGATATTTAGGTGGTCATTCCGAACTGATTTTAATTATCTGCAAAGTGAATCATAAATTAACACCACCCCTATAAAGTAATAAAACTCCGAACAACATTTAATCCGCGGTCCACGAATAACAATTTGATGTTTGTGCTGAACATTGATTTACGAGTATTATTTGGTTTTCATTGTGAAAGAAGATATCACTTTATGAACTTAAAGCCTTGTGAAAATTGCGTTTGTTTATGCATTTGGGTTTATGTTGGGTACATTGTTTTTGTAAGAAGCCTGGGGAGAATATCTTTGTACTAATCGCATAGATTTAAATAGATTTTTCTAAGAAAATGTTGGCGTTTTTCGAAGCGGACAGATCTGGAGATTATGGATACTTTAGTTTAGCGCTTAAATAAAATTCCTTGATTAATAAAAAATTAAAATTTAAACAAATTAGAAATTAATTCCATTCTTTTTCAGTCGGACATTAAAATGTGATAGCAATCGTCGTTACCTCCACTAAATTGTTTTTCTTGAGAGGTAAGGCTACATACAAAAGTCAATAACTAGGAATTAACCTCGTTGTAATATGGATTACGCTTTTTTTTTCTTCTATTTTTGCTACTTGCATTACTTTTGACTTTGTAAAGTATACTCAAATTTAGTACTTTTTTTAACGCAATCGCTTATATCCTTTTTTGATTTAATCGTGTTGCATTGCTAGTTTTAAATTTTCTCAGTATGTTTCGCCATAGTTGCATTATCAATTGTCACAGTTGATTCGCTACGTGATTAAACCCAAAATTGGAAAAAAGTAAATTATACTAGCCAAAGTTATTTAAATGAAGTTGTAAAACCCAACGCACATAATATAAACAAGAATTTATTATTCATTACACTCAATGAAGTGTACCACAGGCCAAACATAATTTATAATTAAGTACGATAAAAATGAATGAACAATGGATTTAATACAACACTTCATGGTTTTGTATTTATGTGAGCGGTATTCGGCCGATAATAGTCACTCCAATGGACCATTTGCACAACGATCGCTTTAATATTATTTATAAAATCGTTAAAAATTGTATGATACAATATCGTTCATATATTACCACATTTTTATTTACATTTGGAATCGTGTAAGATAACAATGTGTCCTCTAATACTCCATTTTTTGCTAGATGTCCAATATTTGTCACAAATACCTAGCGTATTTTCACAGAAATTTTTAATTTTTTTGTTTGGAATGTTTGTTACCGTCATACACAATTCAGCAATAATTGATACAAATATTTTTGGTAAATGCAAAAAGAAAATGTTGACAAAACATAAGAAGCGCATTGTGTGATTAGTACTTTTGATGATGTTTTAATTTGATGTCGCAATCAAGGCAAGTGCGTAGAGCATTGCCGTCGACTTAAAGAATGTCTCATTTTACTTTATTAAACATTTACAGTTTTGTTTCCCTAGTCGCAGCTACAATCATCACATGGGCGTGTAATCTAGTTGCACGTAGAGTTGTCGTACATTGGCGGCGGCAAAGATCATCTGTGTGTGCGAAATGACGTACTTGGGATCGACGTTCTTCGACACCTCTAGCTTGAGCGCACCCACGTACACGTCACTGCACAGCGTCCAGAAATGTGGTTCCTGCACGGAGTAGACACCCGCAAGGCTAACCACCTTCTGGTAGCACTGAGGTAAAATATTGTCCAGCGCGTACGGCTGCCGCTGCATTAGAATGACGACCGAATCCTTGATTAGTGCTAACACACTGAGCGCAATGAGTATAGCGATAAACATGGAGCAAATTGGATCGGCGATCATCCAGCCGAACATTTGCATGAGGATAGCCGAGACGATAACGCCTACACTGCCTAAAGTATCAGCAAGAATATGAAGAAAAACGCCCTTCATAATCGCCGAATTTTGGCTAGATAGCTCGAAGTCGTCGTGGCTGTGACCGTGTGAGTTGTGGGAGTGATTATGGGAGCTGCCTCCGTGCGAATGCCCATGTGAGCCGCCACCGCCGCCGTGAGAGTGACCGTGTCCATGTTGAAAAGCATAAATACCTATGAGGTTTACAATTAACCCGAGAACTGAAACCACGAACAATCGTTCATGTTTCACCTGCAAAAATAAGTTTTTTTATTTCAGTCACTTCTTAATTAAAATAAAAAGCTTCAACTAACTTCTGGCGGCTCAATTGCCCTCTCCACAGCCTCTGACATGATAAAGAAAGCAATAAACAAGAGAAAGAGGCCATTCACAAAACCTGCAATCACTTCTGCTCTCACATATCCATATGAATATTTGTCATTTGCTTTCCATTTTGTAATTACTGATGCAGCCAAGCCAGCTAACAGCCCAGTGCAGTCAAAGAACATGTGAAAGGAATCTGATATGAGACCTATAACACAATTACATTTACATTAATGCCACATACACCAATTTGAGTTTGCTTGATTGCTGCATACCTAGACTGTTTGTCCACACTCCATAGCTTAGTTCCACAAAGGCAAAAGATAAGTTAAGCAACAGAAACAAGAACAAATTACGCGAGTTCTTGTCAGAAAAAATCAGTCGCAGCCAGTTAAATAGTTTTTCTCTGAGGTGTGAGCCGAAACCGCCGTGTTTCAGGTTATCTTTGTGTGAAAGCGGCAGCATGATTACTTGCGTTAATGTTACTTTTTCCTTGAATCGCTGATCTTCATTGAGAAATTCTTTAATTGATTGTAGTATTTTATTTGGCTGCGATTACGTTATTAGGACGCGTGATTTAAGCGATTTACTGTTGATTCCCATTCGCATCCTTAATCCGTCGTGTCGATTGTGTTGACGTGTATGTTTTCCGCCTAAACTATAGCCCCGCCGCATACGAGTACGTACGAAATGAAATCGAATTCTCTTAGGATAAAATGCGTCTGATGGAGTTATAAAAACATGTCAGTGCCTGTCGTTCCGAAGATCACCACGTAGCTTGTTTACAAAAATTTTCTGCCGACCACCCGTTTTCTAGCAGGTTCTCCAGCCCGTGCCGGCTGACAAGTTCTTACAACTGCTGCCGCTAGTGCAGATTCGCACCGCCTGCACCTGCAGTGCCCATGATTATTTGGCACTGACACATACGCATGCTGCGATAGGATGACGTCGAAATAACCCGATTTGATACATTTTTAACACGTTCATTTTTGTAAATTAATAACAAAAATGTGGCTAGATTATAGTTGACTAGAAATAGTAAATAACCAAAAATAATTTTGTAAGCAATATTTTAAAAACTTTGTCAATCAGCCAATTTTCATATGAAAACTTGAAATAAAACTACTAACTTGGTGACTTTGTTCCGTCAACGGAAATGGCAACACTGTAAACTGACGTTCGGGAGACGACGTTTTCCTTCACTCTTTCCGCTTCGTTCTTTCGTGCGCCATCATGGTGAGTGAAACGTTGTTTTATATTTAACTTTATCGAATTTTTGCATTTGCATTAAAATTATACGAAAATAATAAACGTAAAATGCTTAGTATATTATCGTGTCTTAACTGAAATTGAAACTTTATTTAGCCGTGAAGTTTATTGTATTTTATTGTGCAAACTTTATGTTTAACCTAACTAAAATTGCACATGCGTCTTCCCGTGTTTTTGTGATGATAAAACTCATTCTTGAATATCTTCATGGAAGTAAAAACTGATTTAATGAGTCTGATTATTACTATAAATGAAGTTTAATTTAGATCATGCTAAGAAAAGGAAATGGAAATGAAGTAGTCTTTTTTTGTTTGTAGCCTCCTAAGAAGGATTCGAAATCGTCGGCAAAGCAGCCGCAAAAGACCCAGAAGAAGAAGGAAGGGTCTGGTGGTGGCAAAGCCAAGAAGAAGAAGTGGTCAAAAGGAAAAGTCCGCGATAAGTTGAACAACCAGGTGCTTTTTGATAAGGCTACATATGACAAGTTGTACAAGGAAGTTCCATCCTACAAGCTTATCACTCCTTCTGTGGTATCAGAACGTCTGAAGGTTCGTGGTTCTTTGGCCAGGAGGGCTCTTATTGAGCTTACCCAGAAAGGTAACTTGAATTCAATATACAATCTATTGTAAATATTGTGATGAGCATTTAATTCTTGAATCCTGTGATGGTATAAACTGATTTAATGAGTCTGATTTAAATTAATATTAATTTAAAATAAAAGTCTATTTATATTTTGTGTACTAATGAAGAAAAACTTTAATTTTTAGGTTTGATTAAACAAGTTGTTCAACATCGCGCTCAACTTATCTATACTAGAACTACGAAGGGAGATGACGCGGCGGCGTAGATGTAATGTACCACCTACATTTATTAAATAAAAAATAAAAAGTTATTAATGTGTTTTCTGTTCTATACCAGGGTATAACTTTTATGAAAAGTGTACGGATCATACAATTATCGATGTTTTCCTGTTTATAGGGAAACTTGTTTTAATGGAAAGAATATTTCTCTTGTTGACACTTGAAATAACTGTCAAAACGTTCATAACAAATCATTTCTGACAAGTTAACATATAGTCATGCTTAAACACGCTCTATTTTTAACAATTTTACTCGTGAATTTTATTCCAGTCAATCCCAGAAGATTACGCCGTGTAACAATAGCTGATCAGGCAGAACTGGACAAAGCTCAACGCAATGCTGAATGTTGTGCGAAAAATATGCGCTGTTGTGTAAGGGTGCAATCACCTCCTATTGAAATTCGTGCTGTTATTGCTCGCTGCCCAAATTTAGGCACCGCCGAATCCCGCTCACACATCTCTCGAACCATGACGAAGCCTATTATGGCCGCTAACGAATTTAATATCAAAAGCTTTCAAGGTTTCGATGAAGATGAACCTTTAATACAATCACGCGTCACAGACTGCCGTAGTAAAATCATAATGACAATGAAGTTGCACCACCAAGGTGCAATTGTGTGCAAATCGCAATATATAGTCGTAGATCACGTCTATGATCCATTAACAGATAAATCTGTACGACTCCTTAATCCATACGTCATCCGTTTGAGACAGGAACCTGTATCGAAATCATTTCACCTTAAATTCGTTGATTATGTGAATTCTGAAGCGCATGAAGAAGTATACAATAAGCAGGATGCTAATTATACAGGTTGTTATACTTCTGCACACAGAAATACATGTGGGCAAGTCAAATTTGACGGTAAAGTGATCCCCTACAGCGAGGGATTTTGCTGTTCTTGTGATACAAACAAAAATCTACAAAGACAACCAGAAAATCATAATACAAAGAATGAGGAGATTATTAGTTATAGTGATCCTGCTTATTTACTTGATAGAGTTGGATGCCCAAGAAATTTTTACAGTGATTCTGGGACGGACCAACTAGTAAATGGTAATGATGTGATGAATCTTACTACCCGAGCTCCAGGCAAAATCGTAAACTCCACTGATACTACCCGGCTACAACATGCCGTGACACATAATGTGAGTCCTGAACCAAAGAAACGTGGTGGTAGTGGTTCATCAAAGGGGCGTTGGAAATACACTACATATACTAATCAATTTGGCACGACGCCAGTACCAGAGTCAACCACATATCATCCATTTTATTTAAAACGTGAATTTAATGAAGAAGACAAGCAACCAAAGTCTTATTTACAAAAAATATCAACGGCCGCGACAAAGAAATACAACCAACAGCAATACATGGATGATGTAAAGAAGGCACATAATTCAGCACCATATTTAAACCCAGCCGATGATACACGCAATCAGTTTCAAGCTCGTTTGTCTAGAAAACTGCGCCAGACGTTCCCGAGCGGTGTGCAGAAAAGAGGTGGACAAAATTGCGCTGATAGATATACTCCACCAGGATTAGACCCCGAGCATTATCATGAAAGCACTCATTGTCTACGTTTTTCAGACGTTTGGTATGGAATTTATAAACTTGGTGAACCTAACATCGAACAGGTTGTTTACCTCAATATCTACGAACGATTTGAAACACCATCTAGGGCAGACAAATGGCGTGAAGTGACCAACAAAACTATACGTTTGGGAAATAGATTTACACATTATGAAGATGATTTACCGACAATATCGATGACATTCACCGCGAAAACTTTATCCGATGATCAATATTATGAAAACTGGGATGCAAAACGTATTCTTATACCGGAAGGTGTCAGATCTTGCGAGATACATAAATATCCTGAGATGCGAGGTGGACCCGATGAATATCTTGTGATCCCAGCTAGTAGGATTGCTCTAGAAGGCGATCAATGTGATACTGTTGGTGTTGGGTTCGAAGGTTTCTTTAAACAACCTCAAAGGTGTGGATTACCACGAGGGACGTGTTTACATAATCAACCAAAGAATCTCTGGAGGAACGATAAACATTTGGAGCAAAAGAATAAAATTGGCTGTTATTTTCTCAAATATCATGCGAATATAACAGCACAACCACTGTTTGTAAACGAAACTACGGGTGAGAAATATTTATTTGTTGAATATACAGGTGCGCATGTCACAATCATCGACATTGAAATCAAAGCAGATCAGAATTCTGTCATAAGAGACATTGCAAATGCTGCAATTACCGAAGTGTATGTTGATAGTACTTGCGGAAAGTATACAAAGTTAACTATCAAAGTAATTAACACTGGTTTGATTTCCTCCAAATTTATGGTACAGCTATCAGATTTTCCATTGGAACTACCTGAATACTTCAGTAAAATACGTTCTAAGCTTGTGCTCATTCCCCCTCAAAATTTACATATTTTTAACTTGGAAATAAAAGCTGCACTACCGAGTGATCTCATGTATTGCTCGGTAGAAGTACTCAACAAAAAGAAGGAACTGGTTGCTTTACGTCGTGTGAGGATTCAGAAGTATGATAGATGTATCTGCGCTTGGTACTGTCTATGCGCATGTGTCGCCTCCATTACTGGATTGAAATGTAATCCAATGTCTTTAGAACATTACCACGCTGCAGGATTCGAGGGTTCTTTACCGATTGTTACCTACATGGTGCATTTCACTATGCTGGATGATTTGCTATCGGTGGCGTTTTATTTTATTTTGTTTCTTCTTGGATTACTGCTACTTTTGGGTTTGTTTAAAGCATTGCTGGGCTTATGTATCATGAGTATAGGAATGTGGGGCCTGCCAGTTGTTCTTGATATTCCAAAGCCCATGAAAAGATACTACGAACGCAGTTTGAGAAAGGAAGCAGTAATCTACGATGAGAAAGGCTGGCCTATTAATCCATTTTCCCATAAACCTGCAAGGAATATTTCAATTGCAACCGCATTTTGCTCGAATCTTGTATTTTTTTACACGTATCCATTAGCGTGTACGGTGATTATATTCAGGAGATTATGTTGTCCGTACTACACGAGACAAGCATCCGGACGTAATAAGAAACATTCCAAAACGACCTGTACATGTCGTAAGAAGAAGGGTCGTCCATGTGGCGCTCCCAATTGTATTCGAAAATCATGTAAACAGAAAGAGCTCCCGTGTAAAAAAAAATCTTCATTAAAATGCACCGAGACAGATTGTTCTGTTGGTTCACGTAAGAATGTTCATTCGCCAAAATCCTCACATGCATCTAATAAGTCTACCACATTTGGCCACAAAAATGAAGCACCTATTGCTGCTTATACATATTCGAAATATAAAGCGCCCTTTGCAAAAACAGCTGAAAAACTCAAAACAAAGACAAGATATGAGAAATTGACAAGTCCAGCCAGTTCTACTAATACCAGCACTACCAAGCTTCAGTCTGTAGGTAATATTGCAAGTGGGGAAGTACCTGAAGTCACTACTTCTTCAGAAGGAGATGACACATCGGTTCGATCAGTTTCGTTAACATCTACTACAACACCCCCAAGAGAAAAGCGTACTCCTGTTGTTTGTAAGACGGATAGACGAAAAAATTCGCGTCGATCACGTCGTATTAGTCCACCATCGACTATTTCACAAACTTCTTTAATAACACCTGACATGATTGGGTCCAATGCAACTTCTTGTTCGCCGACTTCAATTGAAACAAGTGCTACTGCAGAAAGTATTGCTGCTGAAAGCGTTGCGGTTCAAACCAATCCGCAAACGGATGAAAAAAATGTAGGCGAAAATACAACAAGTAATTCCGATCCAAAGAAGTCTTTAAAATCTAGTAGACCTAGATCTATGTGAAGATTTTTTTTAAATATATTCTTTTATACTGCAATATTTTTTACAATAAACTATACTGGCAAGAATCTATTTTTTCCACATCCGGGATTATATTCTGCCATTCTACTGTACACGCAGTGTTATTATAGCGGCCGCACGTGGCCGCAAGTTACACAAAAAGGTTATGGTGTTCCAACAAGTAAACTCTGCACAAACATTCTATTAAAACTTAATACTTAGCAAAAATGTCTACAGAAAAGACTCCATTGTTTCGTGATCTAAACGCGGAAGATCCGGAACCAGAAGTAACAGAAATCGAATCATTATGCATGAATTGTCATGCAGATGTAAGTACCAAATGCACTCTCCTTTGCATTTAAACAATAAATAATAACTCATTGTTTATTAGGGTATTACAAGACTGTTACTTACAAAAATACCGCACTATAAAGAAGTAGTGGTAATGTCTTTTAGTTGTAATGAATGTGGATATCAGAACAATGAACTACAATCAGGGGGACAAGTGTCAGCCAGGGGCATTAAGCTAACTCTGACTGTTGAGGAAGCAAATGATCTTAACAGGCAAGTTGTTAGATCAGACTACACCAGTGTAAAAATAGTTGAACTGGACTTTGAGATTCCATCAAAGAGTCAAAAAGGAGATGTGACTACTGTTGAGGGGGTCATAGATAGGGCTATTGCTGGATTAGAACAGGACCAGGTACAAAGAAGGATTGATCACCCTGAGGTTGCTAAGCAACTTGATGACTTTATTGAGAAATTGAGGCAGTTGAAGAGGATTGATAAACCATTTACTTTGGTAAGTTAAGAAAATAATAATTAATTTTATTTTTTAGTGTTTTATTAATGTTAATATCATTAATGTTAAGGTTTTAGAAGATATATCTGGCAATACCCATATTGAAAATCCAAATGCGCCACATATTGATCCAAACTGTAGAATTGTTTACTTTAATAGAACAAAAGAAAACGATCATGATTTAGGACTGTTTTCTCATGATGAAATTAATGGTAAACAAGATGGTTTGTTGCATCCTATTGCTGAGGATGAATATCCTCTTGAGGACTTTGAGGCTGGTGATGTAATGCAATTTAAAACAAACTGCAATAATTGTGGGTCACCATGTGATACAAATATGAAACTCACAAGTAAGTATGAAATAGAATATAAATAAATCCATCGCCCATTAACTCAAGGCAACCATAATAAAAGAGGGATGTGATTGTTTTCACTTTGATGGGATTTTTAATTTCAAATTTTTGTCATATTGAGAGATTTACCGAATATCTTTATATGATTTAAGGCATTCCACATTTTAAAGAAGTTGTTATAATGGCGACAGTTTGTGACTATTGCGGTCATCGTACCAATGAAGTGAAATCAAGCGGTGGTATTGAAGAAACTGGTCTTAAAGTAGAAATTATAATTAAAGAAAAAATAGATTTATCACGGGACGTTCTTAAAGTGAGCAAAACATACTATACTAAATTTGTACAAAATTTTTAAATTCACATATAAACATTTCAGTCTGAAACTTGTTCGTTAAGTATACCCGAGCTTGAATTCGAAGTCGGTTCTTACGCGCTCGGTGGACGTTTCACAACGGTTGAAGGTATCATAATGGCTGTGAAAGAACAACTTGGTGATCCACAACGTTCGCACATGTTGGGCGACTCGACTGATCGTGATAAAGCTGAAAAACTTGAATGTTTTCTAAAAAAAATTGATGAAATCATTGAATGCAAACGACAAGTCACTTTAATTTTGGACGATCCAGCGGGAAACAGCTATATTCAAGTAAATATAACTGTAACTACCCACTTGCAGTTTAATGTAAATGTGGTAAATTATTTTAGAGCTTAGGAGATGATGATGCACCTGACGATAGATTGAAAATCACCAGATACGAACGCAATTTTGAACAGAACGAAGAGCTCGGTTTGAACGATATGAAAGTTGAAAACTACTCCGAAGATTAAAATGTTGTATATTATATCATAAACTGTAAGTTGTTAATCATTTTCTTCACGCAGCACTGGATCACCATCTAATTTCTTCAAAAGTGGTAGACGTTTTGATGCCTCTACTTTAAATGTGCTTTCATCCATATTGTCGGCCAATGGATTGCCTACAATAACAATTGATACGTTCAAAATAATTCAATCAATAAGTAAGCATAAATAAAACCTATAAAAACGAGATCTTCTAATGAATGAAGTTCTTGTAATTTGTTAAATTCAGACCAGTCTTTAACCAAGTTGTTACTCATATAGAGTACTTTTAATTTTTCAAGACATTAATTCCTTTCACTTTTTCTATAAAATTGTAAGAAATCCAAAGTTCTTCCAGGGTATCTGCAACGCCTTCCTAAATTCTTCTTTAAATGAATTTGAAATTATATATTAATGAAGTTAATATGACTTACTAATCCAGTTAAATTCTTTATGTAATTTCTGCCGAGAGATAAAATTTTGAGATTTTTTAATGATGATATTCCGGCTATTTTTTCAATCATATTTGTACTAAGGCTTAATTTTCTAAAAGATGTTGGTTTTTAAGCAAATTAATAATGAGTGAATCATTTGTGAACTTACTGAACGCTTGCAAGGGCTGATAAAGAATTATCCATTTTTTCGATGGGTGGATATTGAAATTGGAAGCCGACGTATGCGGCTTTACTGATATCTTCGCCGGGGTTCTTTTCTTCCCATTTTTTTATTGCTTCCTTGATTGTTGTTCCTTTCGACATTATATGTAATTAAAAATGATTTGCCAGAATTCTTTCAGAGACGTTTGGTCGATTTTAAACTTTTGTTACTATAGTAATATTTGATTACATTAAATTACGCATTTAAGAGTTGGCTTTAAATAAAATTGATAGTATAATACATAGTTACAGCGTATTTTTTAGTTATAAAATTATCAAAATCATGGTTTTATAATTCTTAGTATTGTTGCAATTAACCAGTCAGAATCAAATAAGTAATTTGTAGCGCTTTTCTTTAAAAAAATGTTTGCGTAAACTTAGTTTCTGTATAAATGGTTGCCATACTTCCTCAAATATAACACAAAATTCCCCTAGATTTCTAGTTGCCAGTGACAAAGTTCGTGGTTATGGCGTTGAATAATTTTATGTAAGAAGGTGTACCACGTGACTTAATTTAACCAATTATCCGCCAGTCGATGTCCATTGCAAGGTCCCGATGAGTTTAACCCTAGAATAAGTTGTTAATTTCGGTCGGTTTTCTACCAATTTGTTTGCCATCGTATTCTTCGTTTTTGCGTTCATTGCGCCTTTCGCTGGGCGAAACGTTGAGTGTCCGCCGTCTGCTTGGAAATTGCTCGCGTGCACTTCGTCTCTGTTGCTTCGGTAGCGTGTATATGGGAAATCGCGACGAATGCCGTTGTCGTGTCTGACGCCGTGGCGGTCGTTCATGTTTTCGTTATTATTCTCCGAGGGACACATCGTGCCGATTTCCACACACATTCCGTGCATTTAGTAGATTTAAGGAAACAATATGGTGAGTACTTGTGCATGGCTTGGCGCTTTGCTACTCTGTACGGCCGCTGGCAAAAAAACCGACTTCCATGCTGATTAGTTTGTGAAGTGTTTCTTTTTTTGTTTGCCCACTCTGGTAAATATTACTACTTGCAAATTACCATGATATATTTATAGATGTAAACAATTAGGTTAGTGTAGTTATTAGTTCCGTTATTCATTTGTTTTTCGAATCAAATACAACGAAAAAATACTGTTTTATAGATTGTCTTATCATGCAAATTGATTTTGAAATTAATTTTTTCTGTTTGTTCATAGGAATCTCAAAACAAAGACAAAAATCGCAACGGTGATAGCAGCAGTGATAATGAGGTAAGTCTTAGATAAGCATAAGTTTTCATTTTCGTTTGTGCAACCAGGTTTTACCAGGTTGTATGTGAGCACAATGTTAAGGCTTCGTAAATGAATTGTTCAAATAGATAACATGTTTGCTAATGTCATGATATAAAAGGAAAATAGAAGAGCTGCAAAGTTGACAGAATAAATTTTCGTCTCAGTTTTGTATTCTATTGCAGTACGAGCAAATAAAAAATTAGAGAAAAAGTATACACATTATTACTTTAACATATTAATCCAATTACATTATATAGGACAAATCATTAATTTTTGCAGCCATTGAAACAAGTGAATATCATTTATTATTAATTGATTGTAATGTTGCATTTCATTTATTTTAATTTAATAACACAAGAAACGCTTCGTGTTGATGTGATAATTCCCCATTTCGTGTATTTGGTCATAAACCTACAAATGAAAAACTAGTTTTTTGACTTGTGCTGGAAATAACTTTAATTACAATTATTCGAAATGAAGCCTGATTTTAATATCTGAACGGTGCATGTTCCTGGCCCATAGCACATTACACTTTACATATATACCCGTGTGTGCATACATGCACTGTTGGTTTACTCTCGCTATTTATAAAACTAGACTTTTGTTACTACGCTCCGCAGATTCCTTTTTTCTATGTGCACATTTGAAAATCTATTTTCGGTTACCTATTAATTTCGTACGAGTAAAATTACTTTTCATAATTTAATTTTGTTTGCGGGAATTGACTGGGTGGCAAACGAGTGCTATCAGACCTCACACTCATAAACGGTGTAAATGCGAGTAGTTTTTTTTTATCTCCCGTGGACTTCAAACGAATCTATTGCTTTGTAATCATTTCTTGGAATTCAATGGTGGTGTATTTATTTATTAAATAAGATTAAAGAGGGAAAGAGGAGGAAGTTAAAAATTTATGAAAATATGTGTCAATAAATTATGAAGCTTGAAAAATCGGAATTAAAATAACATTTTTTACTGCTAGACATTGACGTAAAAGTGTAATCATGCGTGTATGTTCAATATTGAGACTATGTCTTGAATTTTTGCATATGATATTATTTATGGTGAAACATAGTATCAATTTATTATAAACTGTTTGGTCACTCGAACTTACGTATGACGCGCGCAGGTAAACTTTGTCCACGCGATCAATGGCATATATTTTCACGTAAACATTTTGATTACTGCTGATAATGATGAAGATTGATCAAATGAGTACTTAACATAATTAACGTAATTGTGATAAAGTGGAGTTTCTTATGATTGTTGTATAAAGGATAATGTAAAATGTGAGTATAACTTAATTACAAGCGAGAAATAGAACAATATATTGTAGCATTCAATTTTAGGTTTGCTTTTATAAAGATAAAATTTAAGTTTGTATTTTTTATGTCGGTTTTGGGGGGGGTGGAGTAAACGGTTGCAATAAAATTTTGTATGTTAAGAGCAATCCACTTCAGGTCAGTTGCCTACACTACATTTGAATCAAGGGTTGTTGCTGCGTGTCTCTGGGATGCCGTTATGTGTAACTCGGATACGGGATTTTCTAGCGAAGCTGATTTACGATTGCAAAATTATTGGCTGCCAATTTGTTCGGTTCGCTTCGCATGCTTGTGCATACCTACAGCATCCACTTTCGTGTAGCAGATACGATTCACGTCTATACACGCGCGAAACGGATATTCGGACACGCGTGCACACAATCACATTCCGCGCGCGGCCGTAAGCCGCCGCTCGCTTACGTAACAAGCGCGAGGCGCAGAACTGCACATTCGTACACGTGATTGAGGTCTTTTGGCAGACGTCCCTGGCTTTTTCGCCTCCTGTAAACAACGCGCCGTGTGGCTCCCGAAAGCGCCACACGACGGCGCCTTTTCGCTGACATTCGAAAATTACGTTTGTTTAGTTTAAATTTGCACGGTATATCGGTCTAACGCGCGCACATTGCGCCCGACTTTATATATACATATTTAAAAAAACACCTAATGCGGATTCGCACGCCTTTCTTCTCATCTATGCGCACTGGTTGCGTTTTCAGTTTTTCCTTCGCCACATTGGCAAAACCTGGAAATCGCTAATCGCGACGGTCGCTGATCGTCCCAGTCGTCGTTGTGTTTTATTTTCGAACGGCGGTGAATTACACACGGCTTAGTTAACATACAATAGAATATCAAAGCGAGACGAGCGTCGAAGATCGCTGAATTGCGTTCGGGGCGTTTAAACATCATCGTTTCGTCGATAAATTGCGTCGGATCGATACGCGGATGTTGGACGCCGTCGCGACGTTTATTTCACCGATTATTTTCACCTTTATTCGTGTCCATTTCGACTCGAGTGCATGTGGTGTGGATGTGAGTTAGTGTAGTGCATAAATAGTAAAAACTCGAAAGTCCTTACGCGGGAGTGCGCGATCCTTCGTCATCGCGCGTGCGCCCGAAATCTAAGGAAGATGGAGCTTTAAGTTTACATCATTGGCGATTATTGTATTTTGGCGCCGATGCTATGTATTTGCTATTTCGAGAGTAGGAATGCAAATATTATTATTATTCTCTAGACATGGTGGTTAGGTGAGACATGGACTTTGCAGGACTCTTCCGAAGGCGCAAGCGCAGCGTCGTCGAACCGGTATACAATTGATTAGAATTGATTTTCGTTTTCTTTTTTGCATACTCGCAGCTCTAGCATGAAGTGCTGGGTATATCTTATGCAATTCGCTGTTCATGTCATACGCATTATTAGGGTTTTTAATCTAATTTGTGTAGTTTGAAGAACAGAGATCGAGTTGCGTGTCAAGTTATTTTCATTTCGCAACTGTTTTATTATTGGCACGACGCCGACGCGCTCCGCTGTTCACGTTCGCGTGAAATTCGTGGGCAAATTAACCATCGCTCATCGCTTAATAAATGATCAACAGATTAATACCCGATTGAGATTGGTGCGCAATAATATTGTTTAAATTTTTGTCGTTTGCTCAAAAATAAATACTTGTACTTTTGTCATCGTCATGATTTGTTTACACTTTCATACCGTGTTGTGCAGAAGATTAAGTGCTAACCGAATGTTGGCACTGCCCGTGGCGATACTGCTTTCATTTATAGGCTAACGTTTTGTGTTCTGCTATTGCAGCCGAAAGCAAACCAGCTGTCGAACCCGACGCCTCCGCCACCGACACAACTAAATAAAAACGCCACGCTCACGACGGGTACGGTGCAGGGACCCATCTTTAAAAAGGACAAGCGCAACTCAAGCTCACGCTTTAATATTACCAAGAATAGGGAATTGGAGCTGCTGCCACCGCTGAGAGGTACGTACAAATATTTACGTTAACAGTTCCATGGTTAATTTGAAGGTACATTAACACTCCCCGGCGGATATTTTTAGTTTATTTGGGCTTGTGCGTGTTTATGCATTTCGACCTGCGGCGTTTTATGAATCTGACTGGCAGGACGGACGCGTGCGAAGGGTCGTAGTACGCTTGCGCAATCGAAAGCTCGCACATGTATAATCCATATTCTCTTCCTTCTCAAAACAAACCGAAATGAACTGGCCCGCTGCGGTTGGGGTTGTTCGCAAATTGAATGTCATCTTTGGTGGCGTGAATTTCACTTGGCGTTCCACTATCTGAACGACAAGACGCTTTCCGGGCGGCGGCGGCGGCGGTGCAATCGTCGTGCTTTCTGTGCGCGCGTTTCTCTCCGGGTGTCGGTGTCAGTCGGCTCAAGGTCCTGTGCGCGTTTTCCGCAATGGTGCACTCCACTTTTGCGCAAGGTCATGTCATGGGAGGTCGCGACGCGTCGCCCCTCGGCATTCCGAAGTCGCCGTCGTTCCACAGCGGGCTAGATCTGGTGGCGTCCGCGAGCGTCGACTCGCTGGCTTCGCAGCTACAATCGCCAGCGGCCAAGAAGTGCGAGTACATCGAACAACTTCACGCGCAAGGCGACTTTGCCTTCGATGAACCGGGCCAGTTTCGTGTCAAGCGGCGAGGGTGCATGACGAGCGCGGACAATGGCGACGCGGGCACGATGCCGCCGGCGTCGACATCGCCACCGAACAATCGCAACGGACGCGAGAAAATCGATGACTCTGACGTGCGATTTGCAGAAGCATCGAGCCTCTTCCAGGGTTCAATGCGCCGCTTCGATGTGCACATGCAGGGGCGATTGCCTCTTCTAGCAGGTGACGATATTTCCCAGGAGATACAGTTAAATCTAGGATATGTTGGATTTGACGCGTTGAGATAAAATTATACTCAGTTCAGATGAATTAATTGACAACAATTAGTTTGTTCACTCTAATCATCCATACATTGGCCTAATTGTGTGGCTGTGCTTGGCTACATAATGAGACTATTTCGGTTTACGCCGCGTACACAAAACATCCTTCATTATCGTTCATTACTGTGTAACCTTGATGAACATCTTACATGTTTTGCCCCTGCGCGTGTTCGTCTACTTGGGATCATTCCAAAACAAGTTCTCTTATTTTTATTGTCCGTGATCAACTGCAATTTGTCTACACTTCGTTAAACGTCATCAAAGTGGCCGCCATTTTGTTGTCTGAGAAACAATTGCATATGTAACAATTTTTGTATGCATCTTGAATGACATATACTAATTTTTATATTATTTTTAATCTTGTACGATGGGCTTTACTGTAACTCGATATTTATTTTCTGCAGAATGTTCCCCCACGGAAAGAGAAGAACTCTTCATAAAAAAGTTGCGCCAATGTTGCGTGTTGTTTGATTTTGCTTCGGATCCACTGTCGGATTTAAAATGGAAGGAAATCAAGCGCACCGCTCTGCAGGAGATGGTCGAATTCGTGATGATGCAGAAAGGTGTCATCACGGAATCGATTTATCCGGAAGCTGTAAATATGGTAAGTACAGTTTTGTATGAGTGTGTGCGAGTGCATATGTGATTATTTTGGATGTGATTTCAGTTTGCAACAAATTTATTCCGTACACTCCCGCCTTCATCAAATCCGAACGGTGCCGAATTCGACCCCGAAGAAGATGAACCCACGTTGGAAGCAGCGTGGCCGCACTTACAGTTGGTGTATGATCTGTTTTTGAAAGTACTTGAAGCGCCAGATTTTCAACCCAATATTGCAAAGCGTTATATTGATCAGAAGTTTGTCCTGAACTTATTAGACCTCTTTGATTCTGAGGATCCCCGTGAGCGCGATTTACTGAAAACAACATTGCATCGCATCTATGGCAAGTTCCTTGGGTTGCGTGCGTTTATTCGTAAACAAATCAACAATGTTTTCTATCGGTTTATCTACGAGACGGAGCATCATAATGGAATTGCCGAACTGCTTGAAATCCTTGGCTCGATTATCAATGGGTTCGCCTTACCGCTTAAAGAAGAGCATAAAGTATTTTTGCTACGAGTATTGATGCCTTTGCACAAGGTGAAGTCGCTGTCGGTGTATCATCCGCAGCTCGCCTACTGTGTGGTGCAGTTCCTTGAAAAGGATCCCAGTCTCACGCAGCCGGTGATTAAGAGTCTGCTCAAATATTGGCCGAAGACGCACAGTCCCAAGGAAGTGATGTTCCTCAACGAGTTGGAAGAAATCCTTGATGTTATCGAACCCGCCGAATTTCAAAAGGTGATGAATCCGTTGTTTAAGCAACTAGCCAAGTGCGTTTGCTCGCCGCACTTTCAGGTCGCCGAGCGTGCGCTTTACTACTGGAACAACGAGTACGTGATGTCGCTCGTCGCAGAGAACGCAGGTGAAATCATTCCGCTCATGTTTCCCAGCCTGTACAAGAATTCAAAGAGCCATTGGAACAAAACGATACACGGCCTCATTTACAATGCGCTCAAACTGTTTATGGAGATGAATCAAAAGTTATTCGATGAGTGTACGCAACAATACAGGCAAGACCGACAGAAGTAAGTAGATTTTTTCTCTCTAAACACGCAAATTGTAAAGGCTATATTAAACTATTAATCGCATAGTTAATATCTGATTAATGTTCAATGTTAAAGTATGTTTGAATAAAATCCAGCTATAAATAATTTCTATGCATATCTTGTACATTAGGTATCACAATTGATACAAGCAGCATTACTTAGGTATTAGTAATAGTCATTGTTGTGATGCTAATATTAAATGTAACCACTATTTTGACTCTTGCAGAGAGCGCGAGCGTCAACACAAGCGAGAAGAACTTTGGACCAAGGTGGAGACTCTAGCACAAAAGAGTCCGGCCTTTGAGTCGATGGCGAATCCAAAGCATAGCATAGAGGATTACAATAATATCGCCAATAGTCCCGAGGACGACGGCGATGTGAGCATTGAAAGTTTCGAGCATGAAGCCCATGAGGTAACGATTTACTAATTAGACAAGATAATCTAGATATAGTAGGAGAGAACTAACTGGAATGACAGCAGCTCTTCTGTGGGTAATATTTACATATAGTTATTGTTTTCTTTACAGCAGGCAAGGAAAGTACGTAACACGAACAAACCGCTAGTGAGGCGCAAGAGTGAATTACCGCAAGATCAATACACGGTGAAGGCGCTCAACGAACACAAACGGGCCGACGAATATTTACCCACACCACCAGACGTAAACAAGTGCTAGTCCAGAACAAATAGTTGCTCCGATCTTATGTTCAGGCTGCGAGCGAATTGGTTGATCAATGTCTATCTCTTACATTCGACGCTCGTTTGCGTTGGCGCAGGAAGCGAAAATTAAGCTAGTATCGATGAACATCTTGCAGGAAGTGCTCGGAACTCGGACGCGATTTACGAATTATTTTTATTTAGTTAGTTTTTAACTCAACTGTCTAGTTTTAGTGAAATAACATCGGTGACGAACGAAATGAGATATTTCTCGGGGCGGACGTAATCAAAGCGGCGGTACCAAGATTGCTTGCGAGATTCTTTTTTATAGCACGTTAAGCGATATCAACAAACCACACCAGTCACACACCGAGATTATAATGCAGAATACGATTGCAAGGCCAGCGGCGGGGAACCGATTCAATTTTACTGCGTGCGTTAGATGGTTATAATACTTTTTATGTTTTTACTAGTACACCTTAGTGATCACATCACTTCTACTTAGTACTCATTCGCTTACTTTAAATACTTTATATGTTATGGTCGAAATATTATTTTATCACTTTTTATACGTACGTATTATTATAGACACCACTTGCTTCACAAACACAATGAGGGACAGAATTCAACATATTATTGCAATGAACAATGTAGACGCAGCGGCGACGATGGACCGTGGAATCGAAGATGAAAAACACGTGTATTGTTATTTATTGCATATTTATTATTGTAATGTTTAGTTGAACTATGATATAGTCGTGAGAGCGAAAATATATGCATGCACACAAGGTTCCGCAATTTATACGAATGTTACGCATGTGATGAACATATTGTAATATCAATTTAAGAACTGTTGACACGTCTATCGGGAACAGATTTAAAGAAAGAAATTATCGATAATTTTTGATACGACTTTCTGCGCATTACTACGACGTCCTTGTATACAATTTTGGGATGGTGATTTTATACACATATGCAAACAATTTTATTGACATCATATGTACAACTGATTGCAGATTTGAGACTTTGATTAATAGGCCATATCATTAGTGGTTGTGCTTAAAAAAGGTGCCGATTGCAAAGGAAAAACATTAAATTTTTTTTCATTATTGATTAATATGATTGACATGTTCGAATTCTTATTATATTCAGTTTGTTATTTGTTGCTAAAAGCTGCTCCGCTATTGATAAAATTAATCTAAAGTGGTACCTTTTCTTGGTACAACCATTACATTTTCCACGATTTGTCAAAATCTCAAATAATGAATAAAATAGCGTATTTAACTTATTTAAGTCACTTTGCATTACGTGATCTGTTCGAGATATATCTATATATGTTTTTAATGATATATATATTGCAATTATTTCTGAGCGCATTCGTTGAAAAGGAACATTTACAAAGATATTTGAACATGTACCTTTAAAATAAGCAACGGTGGTTCTATCCATTAACGAGCGGCCGATTAAATCAGCATGGGTTGTCGCAAGAATGCGAATCGACATTGTCGAATTGTTATTGTGAATAGCCTCTGCTTTTGAATGTAAAATTGAAACAATATACTGGTAATAAAATGGAGATAAGCGCAAAGATAACGTTGAAGCATAGTTAACAAGCGCAAAATATAACAAATAAACAATAATCTAAGAACTAAGAAAAATGGTAACGCTGGAGATTGAAATTACTTCATTGCATATGTTATACCCACCAAACATTTGAGTAAATTATAAGCTGCTAGGGATATTATGTGTTATATTATAAATGAACTAAGAGATAAGCCGAAGATGGGCAGTTGTATATATCGATACAAATTATAAAAGAAGAACATAAATATGCAAGTTGATATTATTAGACAGTATTTTTTTAATGTACAGCTTTGCTTTGTGGGTGAGTTGCGAGCGGAAAGGAAACCAATACGTTACATATTGCATTATTCAAATCGAATCATCTAATGGCAAGCTCATTGAGGGACTTGAGCCAGAAAGCAAACATTAGTATCTTTTTGAACAAAGAATAAATAAATTGCAATGGTTTTCACTGCTTTTTCAAGATCTTTGGTTTACAAACTGTTATTCATTTACTGATATTAATTGCCTGCATTACCAAGAAGAGTCATATGTACATATTCAACGCTTGGCCATTTTTGGTAATGTTGATCTTTGATGTGTGGCTTACACGATTGGATGGTTTTGTTGGGATATTTTCGTTTGTGATGCACATTAAGTTGCATATTGTAAACTGGCGTAAGGAATTTTTCATGAAAGTGAAGGTGAGTGCAGCGTGACGCAACATCGCGAAGAATGCACATTCGAATCAGTCGGCGCCGCTACAGGACGATAAACGATAACTAAACGGGCAACGTTAATGGCATAAAGGCATTAATTGCATACACATCAAAGTGCAAAACAGAACAGAGGCAGGCGCAGTGGTGCGTTGCTGCAGCGCGCGTCATCCGTCTACGAATCGAACGCAGTTGATATCGGCATAGGCAAACACAGTGCGCGTGGAACGAGTGTAGTGCGGAGTGCTCGCCGTACTCACTCATACACGACGGGAGCAAAACGCGGCGCACGCGACGAGCGCGGACTACGGGCAAATTTATGAACGTGCGTCCGTCCGTCAGCGCCCAAACAGCCGCCGCAAGTCTGAGCCGTGCGAGCAATATGGCAGTTGATAACTAATAACACCGACGCATCGCTGCGAATTTCCTCCGCGAACGTCTACACATCGGTCGCAATGAGTGGCATCTTGCCGTTTACACCACCTGTCGTCAAGCGCCTGCTCGGCTGGAAGAAAGTGTCGGACGCCGACGATAAATGGTGCGACAAAGCCGTCAAGAATCTGGTGAAGAAACTGAAGAAAAGCGGCGCGTTGGAGGAGCTCGAGCGGGCTGTCTCATCGCAGAATCCCAACACCAAGTGCGTCACAGTGCCCAGGTGAGTAGTGTCGGCCCCCCGTCAATTCTTGCATTCGTCTCTCGCCACTAGGCCCGTCGCCGTGTTTGAAGTTTAAGGTCATATTATGGATTTGTGTGTGGTGCATGTGTGTGCGCCTGTGAGCGCAAGCCCCCCCTCGCCCCACTCAGTCTGGCTTGTGACCTACCCTAAATGTCTGGCGAATGCGCTGGATCCTTCCTCCACGCTTAGTGCGGCAAAGTGCGATCTCGGTGTGCTCGCTTTTTGGCTAATTCACCGACTTATTTGCATGCGCTACATTGTTACCTTACGATTACTTCAATGTCATTGCGGTAGGCGCGCTGTGGCCGGGAAACGACATTTGCGCAATACGTTTGTAAATACGATAGATACGCCGTAATCGAGGGAAGGAAGCATTGTTTCCACTGTGTACAATAAATCTTTTTATCGGTATATATTACATCAGATTGTGAAATTAATTCTGCGTATGCGTCGCGACAAAGGATCGTAATTGTGATGTGATTACAGAGTTAGACCTGCCGCAGAATTGGGGTCTAATATACAGCAGCGCAAGGGTTTGCCTCATGTTATCTACTGCCGCCTGTGGAGGTGGCCAGAATTGCAGTCACATCATGAATTGAGACCACTGGATCATTGTGAGTTTGCTTATTCTCTCAAAAAAGAAGAAGTTTGCATCAATCCATACCACTATACAAAAATTGAAAGCCCAGGCAAGTAAAGATCAAATAAATTTACATATTATGTATTATTTCTTAATTATTGTTATTTCCGTCTTAGAATAATGATTTAATTTGTACTTGCAGCTTTACCAGCAATTCTTGTACCAAGACACAATTTGACAACTGATGAAAGCAATGTATACCAACATTCTCTTGAAGATTTGAGCACATCTGTTCCAGAGAATACATCATTTCCTCACAATACAAATTCACTGGGGTATGTGTTAAGTTACTAATTTAATAATTTCCGGGATCATTTGGAAGTGAATAAATCTTCAATTTTGGCTTTTAGATTACACATGCAACATAGTGGCTATATGGACACAGTGGGTATATGTTCAAATGGTCCGCCGTCAAGCCTCGAGTCTCCACACAATGCAGCACCGCCGACTGAAACGCCTCCACCTGGCTACATGTCCGAAGACGGCGATCCAATCGATCCCAACGATAACATGAGTAATTTGCACAGCATATTGTTTGGTCAGTAGTTAATTTATTATAATTGTATTTAGGTCTATCGAGATTAACTCCTAGTCCACCTGTGGATGCTCAACCAGTAATGTATTGTGAACCGGCGTTCTGGTGCAGTATCAGCTATTATGAGCTGAATACGCGCGTGGGGGAAACTTTTCACGCCAGCCAACCAAGTATCACCGTCGACGGATTCACTGATCCAAGCAATTCAGAAAGGTAAAACATCTTGCCATTTTAGCTATGAAAATCTCTGACGCAAGCAATTTCGACTCGTAGATTTTGTTTGGGATTGTTGTCTAATGTGAATCGCAACATCGTAGTGGAACAAACGCGAAGACACATAGGTAAAGGCGTGCGATTATATTATATTGGAGGTGAGGTCTTTGCGGAATGCTTAAGTGACTCCGCAATCTTTGTCCAATCTCCTAATTGCAATCAGCGATATGGATGGCATCCGGCAACTGTCTGCAAGATCCCACCCGGATGTAATCTAAAAATCTTCAACAATCAAGAGTTTGCTGCGTTGCTATCGCAGAGCGTGAGTCAAGGCTTTGAAGCTGTATATCAGCTGACACGAATGTGCACTATTCGTATGTCGTTTGTGAAGGGTTGGGGTGCGGAATACCGCCGGCAAACTGTCACTTCAACACCCTGTTGGATTGAACTGCATTTAAACGGACCGCTGCAGTGGCTCGATCGAGTATTGACTCAGATGGGTTCACCGCGTCTGCCGTGCAGTTCCATGTCGTAAATCAAAAGATTTACGGAACACGGGTAGCACTCAGTTTCACCCAACTTAGCATATAAGAAAAAAAGGTAGTGTCGTGTGATCGATGTCCAATTTACCTACAAGTAATAACACGCTCAGTTATAAACATACTGTTAGTCACCAGCTGGTAAAGGAATACTGGTTTAGCCAAGATACAGTTCAATATTGTCGCTCAGGGTTTTCGAACTGACCTTACATATACTTCTATTATCAGTATAGAAACGAAACTCGTTGAGACACTTGCATTTATGGTATGTAATAAGGTTTTGTAATAGCGTACCTTAATCGTGTGTCATAACAATTTTTAAAGACTATACAAGCAAAAGAATATGCATGATGTTGGGCAAAGCGGTTACAAACCGGTTAAAGACAAAGTTTATGATGCAATTGCAAAACAAATATTTTTATACAGGGATGATCTCAAGTAACAAGATTTAAAACATTTAAATACGATTTAACATAAAATAGAAATAGTATACTGAACAAATTTATCATGCAATAGCTTTTAAATGCAATTATTTATGACACACATATTATACCAAAATGGACATTATAAGCAAGGACATATATTGGTACCTAAAAGTAATTAAATTAGAGTACAATTTGTCTTACACTTAAAAACCCTCAGATAGAAGATAGTAATTAGCATCGTTGATGTAATAAGTTGCCCAACATTATAAACTTAAAGTGCAGTGATCAGCTTTACATACGTATCTTTGTATGTATTGTAGGTACGTACATCTCATTCATGTATGATTCATTAACTCCGTGGGTTGTTAGTGTTGCAAATTTCAGTTTTTGACGGTGGCAAATTTCGGCGAACAGAATCTTTGATCAAAATTAAAATTGTTCGTAAGGATGCGACACAAAGAAACTTTATATTGCTGTTAGACATTTATTAATTTATAGATACATATAAAAGAAAAGTATTTGATGTGTACAAATTTGCAAAAACTTTCCGTGAGAAATATTATATTTTTACCTGCGCGCCAAAGTTAGCTATATGCGCAATCAGTAACACTGGAAGAAATTAAAGAGGCTGGCCCCCTAACAAAACATGCAACATATAAATGTATATCGTATTAGATCTATTTTTGGATAAGAGATGCGGACGGACTATGCATATGAGAAATATTGAATATTTTGCAGCAATAACAACAGTTATTACAATGTGTTAAGAATTAAATTTGAAACGATGAAGAACGCTGAGAGTTTTGAAATTGCATTCAACAATTTGCCTTTTAACAATATTTTAATTCGTATTAATCAACTACATTAATGCAAGCTCTATTTATCTTAGAACCCTATCACTTATCACTCATCATGGATTCATTTATTTGCCGATTGCGTGCGTACTCAAGCGTATATATACATTGAAATTGTATGGGTACTTGTTATGTTTGTGTAGTTTGTTTTTTATTGTAATAATTATTACTGAATCTATTATAAATACGTAATCGTATCACTCTGCTATTATTCATACAATTGCATTTTTTGCTGACAAAGTATGTTTTAATGATGATTACCAAAATTGTAATGTATTTTTAAGAATATTATATATTCGTTATACTAATTCAAACAAAATCAAATGATTTATTTATGTAAGTAATTTTGCTTCCAGAAAAATGATCCTATTTATTTCATTGTAATCGCACTAGTATCGCCAATTGGTATGCGAACAACATTTAGTTTTGTGAATGTTTCGTTTATTTTGTTACTTACAGACTCGACAGACTTTGTTCTGTCAAAAAGATTTGGAATGTGGCAGCTTTTCTTCCTACCTATTTTATAGTTCTCCTGAACAGAACCATCACCCTGGTGATAGGGCGGTGTGTGGGGTTCAGCTCGGGTGACCAAAGTATCTTTGCTTCCACGAACTTTGGCCACCCTTTCAAGAACAAACTATAATAGTGGGACCCACAAAACATAATATAAAACAATCAAAAATAAATCGAAGAAAGCTGCGAAATTTGTTTTGTTTATATTTTAGTTAGAAAACGTTTGTATTGGAAAATGGAAAGGACTGTCTTTAGGGTTTTCCCGGCAATTATTCGAATTTTTCTCGCCGTAAAAACCATCCTTGGACTTCAACGAACATTTTTAAAACAATAATTGGCTCAATCGGTCTAGGCGTTGTTGAGATATGCGCTTACCAACACATTTTGCGTTTCATTTTTATATTATAGATAGATATAGATATGACGATTTGTGTAGACGGGTTGTGTGGGTTTGCCAGAGACATCTGTATACTAGCATGTCTTTCAATTAAGTGCAGGTACCTGAATGCCTCAATATTTGCAAAATAATGAGGGTAGTCGGTATAGCATGCATCTTGCCGAAATATAACTAAGAGGAAATCTTTTCCATTTATAATTTGTATGTGGAATGATGCTGTTGACTAGGGTAGTCCAAATAAATTTATATCTTTATTGGAAAATTATATAAAGTAGTCCTGTGCAAAGAAGGAATAGAGTTATTACTAAAATTAATGCTTTTTATGTCCATTCTTCTCATCTCTACTTCTGTATTGTCCTTTTGAATGGGAACTTGCTCGCCAGTTATTTCTATCTCTACTGTAGCTTCTTAAATGCTTTTCTTCTTGTTCTTTCAGCTCTAGAGGAATAGGTTTCCTGTAAGGTCTATCTCTACAACCAAACCTTATTTGGCCAGACTCCTTTCTACCCCCGAAACCACCGCCGAGTCTTCGTGGTTTCCAACCCTGGAGAAGTCTTTCACACTCAAAATCTACAAATATGTTTTTCCCATCTAATTCAGTCTTGTAGGCCCGTCGATATGCTTCTTCAGCATCTGATTCTTTCTCATATTCAACAAAAGCATAACCTTTTGAAAAGCCTGTCACAATATCTCGCACAAGTCTGAATCGCTTAATGACTCCGTATTTAGAAAAGTAATCTCTTACAATATCCTTAGTGGTTTTTGGGTTCAAATTGCTTATGAATATTGTGTTCTCTGGGCGTCCCTTCACAAACTTATTTGGCCTGTATTCGGAGTTTATTGCTCGTACAACTGCTTTATCATGCGGTTCAGTGTCAGTTCCATCTATTGAACCAACTTTAACTGGATCATATGTTTTTGCAAATTTCGACCACTCTTCACTTGCCTTCATTTTCTATTTGAAATACCCAGCATGACACTTAGATTAGTAATACTCAATCGATGTACGATGTAAACAACATTACAACATGCATATGCAACTGTATAAACTTCAATAAACAGGAGTGAAAAAATCATAGCTTATGCAACCTTTGACAACTTTAAAGCTGTTCCATTAGAAAACAGGAAATTATATGGGGACCAAATTTGTATTATTTAATTTTATCGTGTAGTTTTACAGTTAGAGAAACATATTCCGGTTCTTTAGTAAGCTGCACGCTTTAAAACGGCACCCGGCCCTCCTGTTCATTATTGAACGATTATAACGTTTATGGCTTGCAGATATTTTTCAAACAATTTTTCTTCAGATCATACCAAGTTGTACAAAGCAACTTTGCATTCAATGCGTTTGTAGATAACTTTTAAATACTAGGTCAACAAGGTCGATTAAATAACTGCTTAATTGCTTGGTATATTATTCAAAGTAAACCCAAAACAAATTGTGTATGCTAAAATATAAAGCGTAAGCTATTTTTACGATTTGAGATGAAACACAATTAAATCGGTTTAATAATCGCTTAAATTTCTTTCTGTATAACGGTTAGCTGACAACATAAATCTTGGTTCAGGTAATCTTTCATAATACCTTGTTTACGTGTTTATGAATCATAGTTTTTCTTTTGAGTCTACACGTCGCGAATACTACGGAACAGTTTCAAATTTCAAACAACTTGAAACACCACTGCGTATACAAACAGTCGCCAAAATGAAGATAATTGCAGAAAACATAATTTTTGGTAATATTTGCATAAATATTAAACTGCAACCAATTTTTCCTCTCAATATAACTACTAATCTAAACTAAAAATATTAATTTTAATATCAGTCCCCCACTTTTCTTTAGAGGCAATTTAAAAAAAAAGCAAGAAAAACTAAAAAGTACTAAATGAAGAAAAACCAAACTCTCAGCTTAAATTTTGTGCAAGTGTGAATCAAATGTATTAGTTTATTATCAAAAGCAATTGAGAAATTAATGGGCATAATAACTTAAAAGGGCTTATAATTTGAATAAAATCTGGACAAAATTCTTAGTTTGAATGGCACTAATATGCTTTAAAATCCATGGGGATAATTGACGTAATTCGTTGTTTGGAAAATGTAAACAATTCAATTCTGGTATCAGTGATACTAGAATACATACATGTATAACAACTCGTTTTGCCGAAATGGCATCAATTGAGACTTTTGAGCTGTTATGATTTAATGATGGGCTCAAGATCTCTACAAATTTTCAGCTTGGTAGGGATGGACGTAACTTGCCTAAAATATAATCCAATTAACAATTATCCCTATGAAATATGGGAATAAAACAGACTTTCCAAAAATTCTGTAAAGACAAAACATTAATTATATGCAAAACCCATTAGAGTATACAAAACCATCATGTCTCCCAATTTGCTATAAAGAAAATACTAATACTTTTTACATGTATTATATTAGATATATGTTATTGATCTTAATGAAAAAATGGATGAACTGCATCTTTAGTCTCTACTTCAAAATCATTATCTACTTTATTCTTCGTCAATTCCTTCATCACCGGCTTCATATTGCTGTAGTCCGCATCATCAAAGGATTTCTGCGTTTCGATGGCATCAATAAATGCAACCAGAAGATGAACGCCTCCACACACTCCAAGAGTAAGACAAATGCATTCTATCGTTGACAGTACCATAACTTGTTAGAGTTTAAGATATGTATACATGATATGTATCAATGATATGAAAATGAAATAATTGCACCAGAAATTTGAAATGAAATGAATGAAGTATCGCAATCACAAGTCATGGAAACAGGGTATCAATTAAAATTGTTTAATATTGCAACAAAATATTTACAATTGCAAAATATTTATTTACTTGAGTTTGTAAATCGTATCGTAAACGTCTGTACGTCGTTGTTTACCAATGGGGATCTGTTGCCTTATTTTGTCACATTCACTTAAATCAATGTCACAGAGAAGAATTTCTTCTTCATGACCAGCTTGCGCAATTATTTTACCCCAGGGATCGGTAACTTGAGAGTGACCCCAGGCAATGTAACCCTTATCACCTCTAGCAGGACTAATACAGTATATAAACAATTGATTGTCAAGAGCTCTTCCCCTCTGCAATAACTCCCAATGCATTGGACCAGTTGTCATATTGAATGCAGCTGGATATATTATCAATTTGCATTCATTTAATCTATACAATTTGGCCAGTTCTTCAAAGCGCAAATCATAGCAAATGCCAATTCCAATTTTCGTTCCATGGAAGTCAAACATGCAGAGGTCATTGCCAGCACTTAGAATATCTGATTCTTTGAATGTAATACCTCCAGGAATGTCAATATCAAACAGATGCATTTTGCTGTATTTTCCAATCATTTCGCCCAAGGGATTCCACACTGTGCATGTGTTATAAAATTTATTATCTTTAATTTCTGGAAATGTTCCACCAACTAGGTAGATTTCATTGTCTTTGGCAGCTTCAGATAGCATTTTACAAGTATGCCCATCTGGTACAGACTCGGCATATTGATCAAAAAAATTGGTTCCATAGGGTGAGTTGAAACATTCCGGAAGAGAAATCAAACAAGCGCCTGCTTCAGCTGCTTTTTTAATTAACTTGCATGCATTTTCCAAGTTGTCGTCGCGATTTTTTCCCACTGACATTTGTATTAGGGCCGTTTTGAATGTGGACATTGTTCTAAATGTTTGTTGCAATGTAGAAAATGAGTATTGTAAGGCACGGACACCAGTAGTCCACATTACAACGTAATAACTTTAGTTCACTTGTAAATGTTTGATAACTGGAAACATGTAATTTCGACATCGAGTAACTAGAGAGGTAAACCAGGGAGGTATGCAACCAAGTAAGCATGATTATCTTGCATATCTCATGGCCACTTTTGCAAATTGGAAATACAGTTTTGGTTTCTGAGATAATAAAATTGAAACAAGTATTTTTTAGAAAAATGGCACATAGTATATTATGTACGTATTGTATATTACATATAGTTGATAATCATTTGAATGTCTAGATGAATTACCTAACTTATAATCTTCATCACGCAATATTTTATTTTATTTAAATATTTTTCTTAATTCTTCAATATATACGTAAAAACACATTCGTTTTGTTCCTTATTAAACGTTTATACAACATCAGCTTGTATTTGTAGTTTTTTTACCACATAGTTCTCATTACAGGGATCATGTCGTGTTCGGTTCAACTCCTTTCGTTACAATCAATTTTCATTGAAGCATTACGAGTCGTGTTTGCGCAAAATTAACCATTGCTTACTTCTATTTGAATTGTATGCACCGTCGTTACCGTCTTGTGAAGTCAATGTTTAAATAAGCATTACATAACAATGCAGATTTCTACAAAAATATAAATTTTATGTTAAATTGGCTGTACATTTAATTGCAATTTCGCAATATCAAATACGAATTTGCGAGCATCAACAGTGGACAAATTTGTATTCGATACGATGTATATTCAATGCAAAAGAAGTATTAATCGCAAGTGTTTACTCTGCATGTGAAATCGCTGTAAAAGGTCTATTAAACTCTTGCAAGATTTACTGCAATAAATTTTGCTGCCTAAGTTTCCCACAAAAAAGTTTAAAGGCTATAAAATAAAAATACACGCTATTACATCCACCTCCGAGCTCTTATTTGCAAGTTATGTGATTGTTTGCTTTGTTTTATATGTATTAGTTTCATTTTATGAGTTTAATACTGCGTATATTGTGTGTAGATGAGCGAAAGTATGATGAAAAATTAAATTTAATTTAAAGAAAAAATCATTTGCCATTAACTCAACAGAAACTACTATGTCGGTCGCGCTTAACAACAGAAATAATATAAAACAATAATATATAAATAATGCTTGCTTAAAAATACTAAAAAGTACATTCCTATTTTGTATAATAAGATAATAAATCTAAAGAAATAATAAAGTTATCAATTACTTAAATAAATCTATGTATAATATTTATAATGTATATAAAAAAAGGTGCCAGGGAAAGAATCAAATTGCATCATTTCGCAGCGTTCCGTTTCAGTAAAATATTGAATGACTTTCCCTTAACATATTTGTTTGCACAATAACATCCATTCGAAATTTAATAGTCATTATTAAACATCGTTTACTTGCACGTTTAGAGCATATTAACATAGAATTGTTTGTATTTCGCAGTTCAATTGATTCATTTGACATAAATGAACACTATGATTTCTCTTTGTTCCTTTGCAACTCATAGTTTTAACGCATTCTTACATTATCATACTCCCCATTAATTAATTATTATAATTTAAATATACGAATTCAGGGGTGAAGCCAGACAGAGGCTGACCGCCAGAATAGTTCTGATACGCCCGACGTCCATGGGTCCGAAGTTTTAACAACTGTACAAAACAATGCTTTATCGACATACATTCGATTACAGACCGATGGACGTCAGGGGTGGCGGTCGTTGCACACAAATTATTACCCTCATTGAATGTTGTAAGAAAACAATCCTACTATATGTACAATGATTTCGGAGGTGTAAAGTTGCGGCGCGTTATTTGCAGGAAATAATGCGTCGCAACGCGGTTACAATTCGTCAAACTTGAACACGTTATCAATGTCTCTTACTTCGCGTCAAAACATTGTTTGTACTCATCATTCATTCTTCTAAACATTCGGAAGCGCTCTAATTGCATTTTTCACGCTTATATGGTTCAAGAAGTAAAAAGTTTAAATCAAAAGATGGCGAATATTGTCAACGTGTGCAGCAATGTAACTTTTTAATTGAGCTCAGGCCATAGATGAGAAAAATAAAAATCAAATTTCTGCACTCTTCCTGATCTGGTCATGTAAATTTTCTATGTTGACGTCGTGATGTATATTTAATATGATAATGTGTCATGATAGCATAAAAAATAAAATACTACAAAGATTAAATAAATGGCAACAGTTCATATCCTTCGTTAATAGCGAGATCGCGATACGTAAGCATCATTTTGGCACTTAATCAAATAATTAATAAGTAAAATTACTAAAATAAGTAAGTATACTGGGGCAAAAGTAAATTATCTAGAGATTCGTGTAAAATCTCAATGGTTGCAAATAAATCAATGCAGCAAAGTTTAACTTGCCTAAGATGTGGTTCCGTCATGTGAAAGCTGTTTGTTCGTTCCGTTTTAAACCATATATGAGAGAAAAACGCTGAAAATGGCGTCCATCATCAACGCCACATTTTGTTATTACTCAGCTTAATATTACAGTAACACTACAGTACTAGCCGTACTGAACTCAAATATGATGCTCTTCATTTTCCGTTTCTCAACTAATTACAATCCGCCTCGTTTTATATTTTCTTTTATATTAAAAAAATATAACTATCATTGTTCGGTTATTAGTAGTAATGACGATGCATCTATTAATTAATATTCATTGATGAGAATGATTTCTTCCTATTCATTATTAAGTCCCTTGATTTAGGTAAGTTTAGTTGTCTCCATCATTTAGTTGAAAATTTTTGTACCGACGAACCGGCATTGTTTTCGCCCAGTTCGCATTGCCATTCCTAATTCATATTTAAACTTTACATTTACTTTGTAGAACTTTGTTTGCGTTGTCTCGGTGAGTGTATTTACAGTGTGTTCGTTTCCTTTGCTCTAAATGTTTACTTTTGTATTAATATTTTGCAATTCATTGTATTTGATGTGTATTATCGCGTTTAGCAATGCTATTGGGGCTGTCCTGGATTATGAGGCAAGTTTGGTGGAGGACCCTGAAACATTGATAATGGTTGTCGATACTAATGCATTTCACGAGTCCATTAATAATTTGAAATCAGTTGAAATGAAATACGTACAGGTATAGTGGAATAATGTGGCGCTAACATGTGATGTGGTGGGCCAACTCCCAACTTAGGCCCATCTTCCGCTTTCTCTTCTTCACGTCGCTTTAAACAAGCGGCTTTAGGATTCAAATTTCGCTCTGAAAAGATAACATTTTAGAAAATACTAATTTGAAGTTTCCTTTAAGAAACTATTTACCTCTAACTTGTTGCTCTAATGTCATAATCACTTCAACAGCCATGTTAAGAATACCTAATTTAGTTTGAGGCTTGTCCGTTTTCAGGTGCGTCATACACATACGTCCTAATTCTTTGAGAGCCTCGTTAATATCACGGATACGTATCCTGGAGAAAAAAATAACACATGAATTTCATTCAAAATCGGTTAAGTTCTAATCTCAGTATCAATTAGAGAATAAAACGGGATGTACTTAAGGAATCTGTCAAACAAGTGCACATGAATATAGGCCAAACAAACAAACAAATGATACTGTAACAGTCAAGTCAATAATAAAAGAAAGAAAAGCGCACCTTTCTCTTGCATTATTAGCCTGCCGCCGTTCCTTTTCTCTTTGTGCTTTTTGGGCGGGATCTAAATCTCCGTCTTCCGTTTCTTCCGCGCTGGAACAACTAAACCCGTGTTAAAATTGCCTGTCCCTTATGAGCAGCAATGCATAGCAGGTTTGAGAGATGTGATCAAATACACCATTACATAATTTGTCTCTTCTCAAACGTACTTAATTATGATTTACATGATTTTAATTTGATTCGTCTGTAATAGCACGCAAAGTTGAGAACGGTTTGGGTATTAAAAATAATATTAACACAAAAATACAGATTTTCGACAAAAGTTTCTCACGATGTCACCATTATATAAAAAAGTATGGTTCCTGCAGTAAAAAGATGAAGGTACAAAAATATTTCTTGGCCCATATTCAACATTGCACATAATACGAATTTTTAAATGGGTTATTAAGGAAAAATACAGTATTTTAAGTAACGAAAGAAGAACGTAATAAAAACAAGCATAACAATAATATAAGTTGGTATTGTACGGATGTGTATTGCAAAGTGATTAAGTTCGGGTCAATTCTTGCTCCACAATTGTTACACACCAATGCGGGTAACATTGCCTTGCAATTATGAATATGGACCTTCGCAAATCCATACAAACAACGAAAAGGTGTTATTGAAAAATAGTACTATAGCCCGATGAAAGCTAAACGTAAGTGGTACGGAGGTGAATAAAAATTAAGGGCATTGTATCAGCGTGCTATTACATACCGTTCACGAACATTGTTGGCCTGCCTGCGCTCTTTTTCACGCACGGCCTTATTTCCGGGCTCTTCAGGAGGGTCTTCCTCCTCAGTAGTACTAAAGATAAATTTTACGTGTAAAGTAAATGATAGCGTTACATTATACGCTCAAAAAATTCAATTTACATCGTTACATAATTAAAGAATTGTTCATATAAATGAATATATTTAAAATGATTCAACTTACAACCGCCTCGTCCGCTTAGCGCCTTTTCCGCTGGGTACACCTCCGCTGGTGGAGTTGGCTGATTCAACGGAACTAGAAGGTTTAGTATCGCTGTCTGGTGGTTCTTTGCGTTTCTCTGTAATATCAAAACATTCTTCTGATGTGGTGCAAATAAATGTAAGCGTGCGTATGCTTACTGCTGTTGTACGTCGCTCGCTCGACTTTCACTGGATCGGGTAGATGCGGATCGGCCGGTGGAGGTGCGTAGCCACCGAGGGAAGTCATCTGCGTGCCGGTTAACGTGGGCGGCAGCTGCCCCATGTTAATTTGCGATTCCGCATGATTCTTGAGAATGTTTATGGCGTCGTCTAGTCTTTCTTCCATTCGTGTTCCCTAAATGATAACAACAATTAATTTTTATATTAAGTCACTATGAAAATTATATACTAAAATTTGAGGAAAAAAGAAAATGAAAACTCACTTGCAACTCAGCATGATCTCTAAGTAAAACGATGGCATCGTCTACACGTTGCACGTCGAAAACTGGGGTCTTCGCAAAAAAACGTAAACACCATGCAAACAAAAAAAATAAAAAAAAAGCGGTAAATAAGCAACTAGCGCATTCCAATCAGACACTTGGTAAAACACACAAAAGTAGAAAACGGCAGGCTCACCATGTGTATACCCTGAGGTGCTCCACTGTTGGCAACTGCTTGAGTGTAGTGCGGAGAATGTGCTGGGGCATTGTGATTTCCGAGCCATGTTGAAGGTGCCAACGGCGGCGGTGAACTCACAGGCGTCGATGGCGCCGAACTGTAACTACTCGCGCTAGCCTGCTCTATTGGATAAATCTGCCGATTCAAAAAGCAACACATCAAAACATTGATTTTATAAAAATCATCCAAAATCAATATAAATGCTTACGTTAAGTGCTTTGCTAATGCCGTCGTTGTGTGGCGCGAACGCGGGATTCGTTTGTGGAGCCGTCGTCGCCGGGGTTCCATTGGCACGGAATGAAGACATGGGTGGCAATCCTTGGGCCGCATCCGTTTCGGGCGTGAGACCATAGTGCTCATAGGTTTGGTACGGCGTCGTGTATGAGCCAGGCCAGTCACCCACGGTGCCGGGCGTCGTGCCGTCCGAGCCGAGGTAGTAGCCGGTGCCCGGCGCCGCCGGCGAAGTGTACCGTGGTGAGTCGTGAGCAAATTCATCCGAACCATACTAAAAACAAAGAAACACCAACTGTCAACACGTGTACACACATAATGGCATTATCTGTCATATATTCAAGCATACTTCCATTGAAATCATATTATTTGATTGAATTGCACGCCCGAATTATATAGTTAATCTTTATAGCACGCACGTACAGATACAATTAATGGCTTAATGGGGGAATGGTGTTCAATTAATATTACTGAAGTCAAGTCAAATCAATGAATCATAAATAATAACAACTTTCCTCTCCTTATCGAGCTATACTGAATTGACTGTTTTGCAATGACTTACTATCTCTATGTTTAACTTTAACTTCCATCCCATTTGTGTTCCGTCTTCGCTCAAACCTCGTAATGACCATGTTATGCTAACTGGTGAAAAATATGACATGAGTGCGACTCATACAAATCAAAATACTCTACAGCATTAACATGGCAAAGTCTTAAAATTGAGCTTTTGCATTTTTCGTGCAACTCCAGAAAAAGTATATATTGAAATAATGATTTATGCGAATAGGTATATAATATCGCTTGATCCTTCCTTGGGATCATGTCGAGTGTATAGAAAAAGCAGAATAGTGCGTGGAATACTGCTGAATGGTCACTTAAAATAGTGACCGAGCATTCCCAAGTAATAATAAATCGGGAGCGCGTATAATGTGGCAACCGTACGGAACACAAGGACAAGAAGAAGCAATAGAAATAAGCGGCCCTCAAGTGCACTCGCAAGCAGAAAAAGTACGAGCATCGGAGCTTTCCCGACCCGTGCTACAGCATTGTTACAGTCAGTAGCATAAAGAAATACAGGGAGGTAGTAAGCTTGCGCGCTGTTTTCGTCCCTCCAAAAATTTATAGCGGACTCGTGAGTGCGGCGCGCTCTCCATTTACGAAACGGGAAGAGCCAAACAAATCGTAAAAGCGTGCCAGTTCCTGAAGTATGTATATATGCCAATCTGCTGTTCAAGGCCCCGAAAATCGTATCGACTTCTTCGGACAAAGAAAGTCGATATCGAAAGGAAAAAATTGACATTGTACATACCTACAAGTTTTCTTAGAAATGGAAATGTGTACCTACATAGGTACATTTTAAAATGCACACCATGTACATAGTCTTATAAGCAAGCGCAGTTTAAATATGGAGTAGAAACAAGAAAATGCTTCTGATCGCAGGAATGTACCTCGAGTGGCAGATAACGTTGCGTGAACATTGGATGATAATCACTATGATAATGGATGCCGAGTGGCAGCGAGTAACAATACGCGATATGAGTATTACGTGTCGCACGCATGAATAATTAATTTGGCACATTCGCGGTAAATCCGCAACCTGTGCGCGCCGTTGATAAGATGCACTTAATTAAGTTGATTTTTCGCGCGCTTTCAAACATTCGATGAACAGCGTTCATTCAAATACGAAACAATAAGTGCATTATTGTGTCGATCTGTAAATGTTTAACCGCGTAAAACCATTTGTTTAAAAATTCTATTTTATGATTTATTACACTCTAGATTTAAATTATACATTTCCACATTGAAGAATGGTCTCACATCAATATTTGAGAAAGTTTTTTTTTCGTGAAATTCAAATGCATCCAGATACACATGCATTTTGTATTATTGTATGAGGGTGAAAAATGTGTTCCAATCCGCGTGGGCTTGTCCGCAAAATTCTCACACCGTGAGACTGTAGGCGTGAGGATAAATAATAAATGTACCTACTTTCCAAATGTAACAAGACGATTTTACAACCAATCATTTTCCGATTAGACGCCTTAATTAATTTGCACAGAAATAAGAATAGTTATGATAGTTGACAGAAAACCTATACTTAAGGGAAAACAAAATCAATACGAGTCAGATTTGAGAATACATCATTTACATTTAAGTAGTACAAGTAGTTACGAAGCTGGCAACACCTAATTACTGCTTTAAAACAATAAAGCAATAGAGTAATTACCTGCAATTAGATGTGGTGGTCGTTATGATTTGTTAGAAAACTATATAAGCAATTTTCCGTGTTACACGTGCTGTTCAGAAACCCCATATGTTATAATATTAGAACACATGTTTAAAAAAAAGTTTATCGGAAAGGTGGTGGTTAAAAACGAAACTATTAATTTTTACTGTCATTCCACCTACTCATAACGCCAACATTATGAGGCCCAGCGTTCGACTTCGTACGCAATAGTGTGAGACCAGAAGAAGTAGAAGGGCACGCTAGCCTGTACGAATGACTCAAACATTCACTCTCTAAACTCCACATTTCACAGGTTCCCGATCAGCGCACTCTCGCATAACTAATCAGGTAACCCTACGACCGTACCTTCTCCCACTACATTTCCCGAGTAGTTCGCAGGTATAAAATGGCAGTTTAAAGAAACCGCAGAATATCAGACGAGCCAATACGTAAATGTGGCAGCCGGTTTTTATTTATTTGAAGATACCTTACGACTAAAATGATACATTAGCTCCACCATTGAGATACTGTTGAAATAACCCGGTCTACCCTTTTTAATAAAATTATGATGAAAAGGTAAAAAGATTTTTAAAAAAGGTGCGAAATAGTATATTAAGTATCAAGTGACTAAATGGAAGTTTTGTTCGAGATTGATTATGAGCGAGCGAGCGTTTAATCAATCGAGTGTGTAACAATGTTTAGCCACGTGATGCTTACGCTATTTTCTTGCTTCCCCACTATTTCCACGTTGAATTTTTGTATTTGAACTTTTGTATTTCAATAAAGACCGTGAGTAAAGTCCTTTACTCACGACTTTAGCAGTCCGTGTTTAAAGTACCTCTTTTCGTGTCTGTGGAAAAACTGCCGCTTTAAAGGTGGAAGTAGGAAAAATATGTTACATAATCAATAACTCCGATTAATCAGATGTTCATATACACGAATGTACTTACGCGTGAGTTAGTATAATTCTTGCAAAATATTTGTAGACATTAAACTATTGGTACAATATATAACACTATTGATACAATTTAACCAACATATATCTATTTATAGTAAATTCATAATAAGTAAGCTAGCACGTTAAAGTCAAGGAGGAGAAGTAAGTGGAAGCACGCGTAATACCCGCGGCCCCACGGCTAGTTGCTAGTGCACACACACCATAGAAAAGACAAAGAAGCAAAAACGCGTGGGAAACCGAAACGAATTAAGTGACAATGCGTGTTCTAGAAAATTGCCTTGCTTCTCAATACTTTTCGCTTAATATTCCATCGGACGCATATAACCATTTCCAATATAAATATTGTACAGCAAAAACTCAGCGTTCGGTTGAAACAGGAAGCACAACCTTTTCAAGGAGGGTGCATATTCACTTCGTCCAAAGCTCATATTATGAAATGCCAGCACACACATTCATATATAGGCAAACACAGTTCCAAAAACTTGAAGGTACTACACTCACCCCACTTTCGCATTGGTTATATTTCCAAAATTTGCCGCTCGTACTTCCACCCGCACCCTTATTGTGGATAAACGGATTCGTGTACTCCATACTTAATGACAATACCCGCAAATTGAAACACAAACAGGTCACCACCGCACAGTTTTACGTAAACATTCATGCACACAAAAAGAATGACAAAACAATGGCTGCATGAAAAGTGCGTATTTATTAGTCATGCTTTCAGCGGAATGTTTTTGTGTAACTGGCTCCTTTAGCGCCGTGCGCTAAAGAAGACAGTTCTAATCAACGCGAAACTGTTTTTGTTTGCGCGGAATTAACCAGCCTGGCTTACACTAACTCACACAATTGTTAGCTAGTATTACGCATGTGCTTTACCGATTAACGAGTACGTATCTAACCGGCGACAGCCGCTAAAGACGTTGAAACCGAAGACCAACCAAAATGTCGTCTAAAAACGAACGAGGAGTCAACCAGAAACTACAATTGCACCGGTACGCGAATACGGCACCAACTCGCGAACGCCGGAGACTATGCCTTATTACGACCTGCCATCGTCCACATGAATACTGAGCGCAATGTCGGTTGGAACACGAACGAGCACGTTAACGCCGCAAGTTAGACGAGGTGTACCGTCGGAGCGAGGGACTCCTGCATTCGGAACTCGGGGGGCCCCTTCTCCGTCAAGCTTCTAACGCACATTCACACCCACACATACATATGCTGATAGATGCTATGCTAGCGGTTACAATGCGTATGCATGCATGTACAACCATCGAGGTTGCGTCTACTTGCGTATGCTTCTCAGCTGACAATGCGGATAAAGTGTAAGTGCGGGAATTTAAAGCAATGCGTTTGAGATGATCTCAATTTCATAAAATGCGGTTGTATGTACAGTTGCAGTAAAAACGCAATTGCGAATCGGCAGCAATAGGTAGCAATGAGAACTTAAGAGCCTTTTGTTTCTGTAAATTGGTTGAACGACCAAATGTGGACGTGGACTTATTCTGTATTCGCTTTCAGCTTTGATTCCTTTCCAGATAAATATTGGTTGTACCAATAACAACAATGACAAACAAATCCCGATTAAAAATAGATTACTACTATTTTTGTCACATTTTCAATGTATCATATTTTTGTAATATAACTGTAATGTCCTCGGACCTAAGAAAGTTTAGTTGATGTTTTTCGTGATGAAAAATTGTTACGTAAACATAGTATACGCCAACGTGCATTCCGGAATATATAATGACCTTCGCAATCTTCGAAATATCAGTCATTTACAAATTAAATGTATAATTTTACACCTATAGCTAATTAAAATGTGGGGCATGTCTTTGTACCAACAAATATTCGCTGCTCACTAGCAAATTTATCATTTGAAGCATCGATAGGCATTATTTTTATGTATATTTCAAGGCCAACTCAATGTCAACTCGCCGATAATTTACTTCGTAACAAAACACTTATTGAATAATTAACTACCGGCAATTTATTTATTCACAAATGATTAATGGAGAACCATAAGTGTAAAAACAAAGTAAAAAATTATTAAGGAAACACGTAGTGTTTAAATACGAAGGAGATTCGCAATGAATTACAAATGTTAATTTAAAACTCTTTGAATATAGAATATAAACAAATAAGTAAACCGCGAGTCATAAGCATTATTTATTAAAACTAGCAGTTTAACAACAAGACGCGCGATAGTCAAGATATTGGAGTTGACATTATGGCAAATCCTATAATTTTCTACAAAACAAGCATGCATTTTGTATGGGGCTCGCTCTCCGTGGTGATTTTAATTAATGAGCATGCGGCGCATTTATTGTTTGCTCGAGTTACGGCAAGGGTCTGCCTCCGGTAATTTGTATCATTTGATTTCCTGCCGTCCCTCGTGCTTCGCTCGACCAGTGCTGCGTCTCTTTCAACCCCATTTTGGTGGCGGGATATGTACGTGTGTGTGTATAAATGTGGGGGTGTCTCAACGGCGGTACGCATTCAAATCGTTGCCGAGCGAACAAATTACAGCGCAGTTATTGGAAAAGGAGATAACAGGTTTAATCAAGTCTACTCCCTGTAAACGTTTTTGTTATCAATTATTGATATTGTCTTTCAATATATCCAAGTAAATACTTCTGATTTGACTGAGTGACCCTTTCAAGTAAATTGTTTAAGAAGCAAGAGATCGACATGAGAAGGCGAAAGCACAAGCTGGGAGCAATGGCATTACAACAATCGGCCATCGTAGAATCGCAGTACAAAATGCGTGTATTGGATAGAAGGAACGAATAAGCACAAGTAAACGCACACATACTTCCATGTTAGTTCGAAGAGGAACAACCGTTTATTTCATTCACTGCGCGGCGTTGTATCTCGGTGATTTGCCATGACTGACAACCCAATTATCCTACGGGATTGCTCGTATTTGGCTTGCACTACTCGTATTTCAATTGCCTTACTATTTTGTTTTTTCATGCAAGCAGCCGAAACGATCGTTCTCGGCCGTGAGGGAAAGCAACGTCTTGACCGGCCCAAATAACAAATGATAGCACATGCAATTCGTACATTTCGGACTGAAACAACAAAATACCCTTTAACATCTAACACATCCAACAATAAAGATGTGAGTGAGATACAAACTGAATTAACTTGAGCACAGCCCTTAAGATGATCATGAACAAAAAACAAAGAATACGAAAAGCGACGCGAAATAGAAAACTACTTTGTATCCCGACATTCTTTACGCGCGCACGTCTAGGGGAAAAGATTTGAAGGGATCTCCGAAACAGTTAGGTAATTAGTCATTTTGCTTGTTCTCTTTTTTTTACTTCCCTAGCATCGTAGAAGGTAATAGTCGGTAAATCTCAATCGTGGGGGTGGCCATGTCACAGCGTCCCCAACCGTAAGTTGCACCCTGGGCTTCCTACGCTGAAACATTGAGTTGCATCCCCTATTTTATTGCACTAGCGCGACTTAGTTACACTTTATATTACACTGAACAGGGCTGATGGTTATATCCGCATGTGAGAGTGTGTTGTGTGCACCATCGGGGGTGACTTCGGCCACAAATCTTACCCCCATTAAATATTTAAAAGTGGAGACTGATATTTGCACTTTCAATATGTTCTAACGCGCTTTACATATCATATATTTTACAGACGCATGCTATTAAATGTAGAAATTTGTCGTGCAAATCAAGTAATATGAATTCACACCATCCAACCATTCTTTTATATGCAACAAAAACAAAAGAAGAAAATCTGCGCATGTGTAAATGAACGTGTATGAATGTGTGCGTCATTCAAATTTGCTCTCGAAAATTTTCGAATACGTTATGAGGTCGTCGGCTATTGCCACATCCACGTTCACATACACAAATGCAGAGAATTTGCGATTTTATGGCGATCATAAAGTCGATTACTAACGTAGACCAACGTTACACATATTGGCTGGGAAATAGCAGGGAGCAGGGAACGGGCGGCGAGTCAATCTATCTCGGCGAGCACATCGCACATAGCTTGTTCGAAAAAGATGAAAAACGTTGAATGCAAATGCGTGCATTAAGCAGATAAAAAGCGTGAAAAGTACGTTTCATTGCCGACTATATTTCCCAAAAATATCAAACATCCAATATATTTTCTATACGCAGTAACAATTTCGGCAAATAAATGTTTTTTTCTGCGTGGATATTTATTTATGGCCATTCTTATTTATAACTTTTATGAGAATAATTATTAAATTATAATTTATTTATGCTTCGAGGCATTTTCACACAAATAAAACAAATATCTGATTTTATCACAAATCATAATATACTTTATATTGACTACGCTTTGAGTAGTTTGATATTAAATATGACAAGATTTGTACTTTCGCAGAAAGTTACATTCGATATAAATTTAACTCTAATATGAAGTTTGTTGCCGAGAGCAATGAAATGACGATTTCGATTCGAATCACGATGCAGAATGAAGGTAAGCGTTAGAATTACTAGATTAAATGACAACAATACAGCTTGTTAGACTACTGGATTGGCCTGTATCCGGGCAAATCTCAATTAAACAAAGAAAATCAGAAGAAAGTGCAATATTAAATTTGCAGTTATTTCACATACTTCTATTTCATCTGTGATTTAATAGTCACGCCGCGATTAAATATTTATGATGCAAGTGATCGTATACGAGTCAGTAGATACAACTCGGTGTTACGCTTTTCGATATGCGTAAATATAGATTTCGAACAAAGCGCATATAACTGAATCAACAGACGTATTAAATGTAAAATGAAATAAACGATTATTAATAGCGGAGCACCGTTGCTCTTTCTAGCGCAATGTAGTGCATCTAGCGGCGAAATTGAATACAATTTATCTTATAAAACAGTCCGAAACAGTTCGAGACAAAATTACTCCTATATTCTGTACTTGCGCGACCGTCCCACTAACAAATAAAAACGTGTGCAGTAGTCAAACAAAAACGTCAAACATAATTTATTAAACGCGATATATATTTACACTTGCGATTTTACGATGAACATCGATCGCGATAAAACAAATGCATTATTGCACATAAGAAGCTCCACTTCGTTCGACGATTAGCATACTTATCAATTCAATGCTCTTGCATGAGTCATTTTGTATATTTACTAGTTCCTAATAGTGTTGCGATTGTTCGCGTTGTTTGATACTTTGTTATTTTGTCATTCGACCTTTATTTAATTATTATCAACACTTTTTTTATTATTCTCGTATAATGCTCAAAGTCGATAAGGCCAACGAAGTTTAATACGCGCAGAATTGATTGGCATAAAATGTGTAATTAAATTAAAACACGAGCTCATGCGGGATTGCAAGTCGCAAAAAGAAATAAATGACTAATGAGCGATAACGAAGCACGTAAAGAAGTTTAATGCGTTACCAACTAGCAAATGTTGATGCAGAACACTCAAATATTGGAACTACAAACTACAGACAACGACACAACCCATGTACATTTAGTTGAGTGAGCTACGAAACAAAAAATGAGAAGAAATTGCGCAAACGGCTAAAGCAATGTGAGTTGAAAAACATCTGTTCTTAATGATTATTGTTGCGTTTAATCTAATTGCTGCTTTTCGTAAATTATTATCGATTTAATTGCGTACGTAAATCGAGAACTTCATTAACGATTATCTCGTATTAGCTATGTCCATTTCTAATCGGTGCAATTTTTATTCTTTATTGATTTACATATTATAGATTTAATTGATAATAAAGAAAGAAAGCAATTGATTTGTTAAAACGACTCCGCAAAGAATAACTTTCGAATTTAGTGCGAGTGTTTATGTGATTTTTTGAGATATCTACCGTACTCATATGCTACCTTCCCATGTTCGAATAACTCGCCGAATTAATTGAACGATGTTTGTTTTTCGTGATACGAATTTCTGACAGTAAAGTAAAACGGTGGAAAATATTCACATATTGCTTTACGTGCAATGTTTGTTTGCTAGTAAATATGAACCGGAAAATGAGCGCATTTTTCGTGCCAGGCGCTGATAAATCCTTCTCAACTTGCTCGCTTAATGTATGTCAGTCATACAGCCAAATATATCAGCAAATC